GGGAACGTTTACTAAGCGACTAAGTAAACACACCATGGTTATTCGGTTCGCTTTTGCTAGTAGCCTCCCGGTCAGGTAGCCCGGCTAACAACAGCATGCTAACCCCTGGAACTGGATTGCCTAGGCTCCAATCTTACTTGTTCCATCTGCTAGCTGTGTGCCTTTTCCAATACACTTCAATATCTCTGCGTGAAGACTGGGGATACCGATGGCACTTCTGAGTACCCTGTGGCCAGGGTTAAACGAGCAGATGTACTTAGGGTGCTGAGAAAATGCCTGATGCGTCATAGGTGCCCCGACCATGTTGACTGCGTTCTGAAACTTGCCTTACCCTGAGGAAGACTAAATGTGATTGCAAAATGCATCCAGAGAAGATCTGCCAAGGGCCTGGCATGCTTGCCTGCCACACTGGCAGCAGCATCTCAGGAAGAGAAGTTCTTTCTTTTCCTCATCACTGTCATTGATAGTTTGAGGTGCCCAGGGTAGGTCCCCAAGCTACGTGAGTCAGGGACTCTGCATTGTGTACCTTCTTCCAGCCCCAGGCTCAGCAGTGGCTTCTGCAGGTGACGGCATGAGAGTTGCTGTTGGGATGGCAAGTTTACCACAGAGGGAGTATCATCACAGAGGGCGGCTCAAGGGTCAGAAAACACCAAGGTGAAAGAGGAAGGGACCCTAACTAGAGCCTATTGTGGTTTTGAGACAGCTTCTGAGAGTCATTGTTCAGATGCAAGTGGAACCTAGGACCACGAGGAGCTCATCTTGCTTGTTTTAAAAACTATGTATGTAAAAAAAAAACTATGCATGTATGCATGTGTGTGTATATATATATATATATATATATATATATATATATATATATATTCATTTGATTGTGTGCACGTGGGCATGGCGTTTAAGGGACAGTTTTTAGTACTGACTTCTCTCCTCCCATCATGTGGATCCTGAGGCTGGAACTCAAATCACCAGGCTTTGCAGCAAGGACATTTAGTCGCTGAGAAATCTCGAAGGCTTGAGTCCTATATTTTGTTATGGGAAGCCATGTCCTGCCTGATCACACAGTAGAAAGGAGTTCTCTTCTCTTCCTAGGTCAGAGGCATACAGAAAGCTAAGAGAGAGAATCGGAGAAGCCATTTAGGTCAACGTGTACATGGCTGGCTGTCAGTTGTCTGACGGAAGGTCTCCCGGACACCGGAAAGTGAAGGAACTCGACAGGAGCCTGGTGTTAGGCAGCTTTTCCACAAAGTGTGAGAGATGACCACTAGGTGGTGCTATGGGCGTGAAGAGATGGTGGGTGTAACTATTAGCCTGTCAGCAGGAGAGCTGGCAAACATCACCAAGAGAGGATCAGAGACCTCATCTAAATACATTCCAGCCATCTAGTGAGACTCGGGGTGGGGATGGGGTTTGGCTTCGGAAACAAGCAGGGGAAGACACTAGGAGAGAAGGGGAGGTCGAGAGGATGTAGTTGCTTGCTTTCTATTCACCTCTTCTATTCCACTATCAGGTCCCTCCACCACCTCACTCATGAGATTATGTCTCCCAGCATGCATTGGTACCTTTGCCCCACCGCGCCATTGGCCGAAGATGCTCCTTTTCGTTCCTTTCTGTAGTAAGAAGGGAGGTGCGGGCTTACACCTGGGCTGGCAGGCTGCTTGGTCGTCCTGGCCACCGGGTTAGTTTATGCCCAAAATAATCACACGGAAATCTCTATTAATTAAATCACTGCCTGGCCCATTAGCTCTAGCCTCTTATTGGCTAACTCTCACATCTTGATTCAACCCATTTCTAATAATCTGTATGTCACCATGAGGCCGTGGCTTACCGGGAAAGATTCAGCATGCCTGACCTGGCGGCTTCCATAGCGGGCGGCTCTCTGCCTGCCTTCTTCCTCCCAGAATTCTGTTCTGTCTACTCCACCCACCTAAGGGTTGCCCTATCAAAATGCCAAGGCAGCTTCTTTATTCAACCAATGAAATCAACACAAATGCAGAAGGACCTCCTATACCACCTTTCTCTTTTGACTCAGCCAGGGTCTCCTGGAAGCCTCCTGTGACCACGCCCCCACAGGAAGAGCTGTCTCTCAGCTTCTTTAGAACCCACTTTCCTTACACCCCTCCTCGCACTTTGGTAGCCCAAGAGGTTTATCACCAAGTGACACTTTTCTGGGTTCACTTGTGCAAAGACCTTGGCTGAGCTTAGTCAGTCCCAACCCAACACACGTGAGGACATTCTTGCCCACCGCCCCGTCCCTCCTGCGGAAATCCAGTGCCCACTTTGTCTCAGGGTCTTGAGAATGTCCTAGAATGCTGGGAGACTATTAACACTGAATAAGCAATACAGACACGCCTGGTCACGTGACTTGGATAACCCAACATAAGATGAGAATAAAGGGTACCCTCCCTTAAAAAAGAGAAAAAGGAAAAAGAATTCAAGACAGAGCCAGAAGAACACTGAGCTAAGAGTGGGGCCCTTCTAAGCTCGGAGTTCTCTGCAGGGTTGCACTGGCCCTGTCCCTGTGGCTGGCTCCAGGCAGAGGAATGCAGTATAATCTCAGGCAAGCCTGTATCTGCTGATGGGGACCTGAGAGGTCCAGCTCCCGGTGTCTTCAGTGTTTGAAGCCCTTCACTTAGGAAATCTCTTGGTTCCCCAACCTTAGTACTAAGATAAGTAGTTTAGAATGTGGTCTTAGGCGATCCCAGATTCACGTTCTGATTCCACCACTAAACACAAATCGTGAAGCTCCAGCAACATGAGCTCATCTGCAGCACCACCTATCACCGATGGTTGTGGGTTCAGGAAAGATGAGTGTAGGCAGCTCCTGGTCTTGAGGCAATGCCCACTCTGTCTACTGAGACCTCCCCATTAAGACATACTGTTTGTCCCCAGAAGTCAGGGACCCTGGGGCAGACCTTGGGCCTAAGAGTTGAGTGGCACTTGCTCAGTGGGGATTAGCTCCTGTGTGCTTTTGGGGCACAATAGGGTCAGTTAAGTCATGGAGGGGAGAAGTCCAGAGACCCAGGGAAGGCCGTACAAAATCAGAGTTGTGCACACTGATATCTAACTGATATCTATGCACATCTCCTGTGCCCGATGCTGGGGAAAACGGGTGAGTGAAACCAGATGGGGTCCTGTCCACTGCTAACTGAAGGTAGTCTGTCCTGCTCCCCTGGCTGCACGCATTGCTAACCGATGGACATTTGTCAGGACACAGGACTCTACTAGCCTCTCTGGAGAAAGGAATGGAGGCTGTGCATTCATTTCAACAGTCAACACCACAGAGTCTTCGTGAGCGGCCCTAGACATTTCCTCTTAAGGGTACAGAGACCAGAAGTGGGTGGCTCTCCAGGGCAGCTGAGAAAAGAGAGGCTGACCTTAGATAGGTGGGGAGCCGAATTCCTGTTTGGGACACTGAAGATTCTCAGAAGAAGAGACTTAGTCTTGATTGACCCTGGGGGAAGATTTTTCCTAAATGCAACCCCATCTTGAACCTCTGAAGTCAGGCTAACGGGATGTCCTGGGAGAAACTTCTGAGAGAGGGATGAGCTTCAGAAGGATTTACAGAATGGTCTTCAGCTGGATGTGAAGCCTGAGCGTGGAAGCCTGACAGGTGTGATAGTCTGGGGGCTTGGCCGGGTGGTCCGAGTTCTCAGGCCAGCCTGTGGTGTCACACATGAAGGGAGAGTGGCCCAGAGGGCAGAGTGAGGCTGCCCCACTTGGGGCATTTGAAGCGCTACATGCGTTAAGCACCCTGTTGTGTACTATGCTTCAAGGGTAGCATAGCCACTGTTCTCAAAGCAGCAACACCTGGGAACCTGCTGGAACTGCACAGCCTGGGGCTGCACCCCAGGCCTGCTTACTCAGTAATTCAGGGGAAGGCGAGAGGGGCTATATTTTCATAAACTGCAAGACCAAGTTTGAGAAGCATCCGTATAGTGTGAAGAGTGCTAAGCTTCGGACAGTAGCTAAGGTGGGGCGCTGGGTTGGCTGGGCTGGCTGGGGAGAGGGGGCTCCTGGCGTTCTGAGCAGTGTGCTACTTTGCACGACCTTTTCTTTAAGCAATACAAGAACTACCAAGTACCAAGAGGTCTGTGTCACCGCCTCTCATGTAGATGTAAGATCTGGGGCTCAGAGTGATTAAATGACCCACTGAAGACCAGCTCCCGCCGCCAGGGGCCCCCCTTTACACCCATCTGACTCACAGTGGAGGGTCTTCACCATGGATGTCGCCTGCCCCTCTGCGGTGCAGTTCCCATCCGGCCTGGGTGGGAGGAAGAAAGGGGCCTCCAGCTTGATGCTTCGTTTCCCGAGTCCTTGGTGTGGACCAACCCTGAGGCCAGCGGGAGTGGTGTGACATTTCTGGCCTAGAAGGATAGTGGTTCGAATTTTCATAAGGTTTGCCATGTACGCCAGGGAGCAGGGCTTACTAGATAACCTCTTCTTCCCAACCCGCTTTCATCCCTGACTCTCATCCCTGCACACAGTTTAAGTGTGAGGGTGAATGGGCAGAAGGACCCATGAACCGCCATGGGAACTCCGCGAGATTGCAAAGATGACCGCAGGGGAAACACACTCATGGTTAAAGGAGTTTTCACCTTCTAAGTTGCACTAAATGATGATAATCATGTCTCAGCTGAACATGCACCTGTTCATTTGTAGGGTGCAGTGTCCACATGGCAGGTCCTGTGTCTGGTGGTGAACAGGGCCAGGTGTCTTTGAAACCACTGAATGTGGAAACCAGGACAGGACATGGCCTGGGTGGCGAATGGGCTCTACCTGAGGTGAGGGGTTTCTGTAGTAACCTCATCTTTCAGTAAAGTCACCTCGGACTTTCTGTGCCCCTCTGGAAATCTCTGACCATGGCAGGCAGGACCTGCTAGGGACTCCAGAATTATGGTGGGGTTGTCCAGCCCTCCCGGTAACCGCCACCGTCTCCCAACAAAGGCCACCGCACACCTTTAAACACAAAATAGTCTTTTATTTGTCAACGAAGGCTACACGGGATCACTTCTGGTTTTCTTTTTTTATGCTTTCCCCCCCTTTTTCTAGAAGGTATCTACATCTGCATTTATTTACAGCCTTGTTGGTATTTACACAGTCAAGAATACAATGTTAGAAACACAAAAGTGTTGAGAAAAAAAACTTCTCAAAATTAGTTCCAGATCTCAGGAAAACATTTCCACATGGTAAGGCCAGAGTCTCCAGTGTCAGTCATCCAGAGGCAGCTTGCCAGAGCTGCGGGTTCAGAGGTCCTCGGAACAACGGGCACGTTTAGAACAGTGGGGTTCTGGTGGTGAGTGGATCAGAGCTGCCGGGGACCCCCAGACATCTGCGGGTCTGTTTCTGCTGGGACAGCCGAGCCTGCCCATGGGCAGTTATCCCTCAAATGTCTGCCCTTAGGATCAATCACATTTTTCTTAGGGACCAGGAAGTAGCCCAGTCTTGTGCCTTTGGCATTCCCCAGAGGGTAAGAAACACAACACAGGGCCCCGCCAGGGCCTCCCAAATGGAACACGAGGTTCCCCACCCCAAGCCTTCCTGCCTTGGATCTTCCACAACACCGAGACATCTCAGAGCGCACCACTGTTCAGGGCAGTCAAGTACACAAGGCTGGTTTTTGAGAATGAAAAGGTTGGAGAGGTTAAAGTTTCTCTCTGTCACCTGAGCAATGAGTCTTTAAAATGAGTTTGCTGTTCTGGGAAGGCTAAATAAAAAGGCCTTGCACGGCAGAGTGCTTCCCCCCCCCCCCCACATCCTTCACCTCTCACAAAATAGAGACAATGGTTTGGACCTAGCTGGGGATGACATGCCTCACATGGAGGGCTTTTAGTCCTGATGAGGATCCCAGGAGAAAGGAGATGCTGGGTCTTTCAGGGACCTCCCATCCCCAGGATCGGGAGCCACCTCTTAGGCTGGGTGGTCGCTGTGAAGGATGAAGAGAATTCTCATCTTTGTGTGATGGGTGATCGAGTCCCAAAGCCTAGCAACCTGCTGAAATCCAGCAAGCTCATCTTCCCGGGTACAAAACCTGGTGTCACTGCTCTCACCAAGAGGCCACCAGAAATGCCAGGGCTGCAAATGGCAAAGCTACTGGTATTCTAAGATGTCACATTGCAAACCTTGCCTGGAAAGGCAGCAGCTGAGAAGTCACAGCTGAAAGGCTCCTTCTTCTTCCCTTGCTCTGTGCCTAGAAAGCCCTGCCCAGGTAACTCAGCTCTCTTAGGCTTCTCCGTCATCCAAGCCCCGCCCAGTGCCCTCTCTGTTATCTGCAGGCACTTGTCCAGTCTCCATCTCCACTACCTTCCTAGGGTGTCTGTCAGACCTCGTATCCCTCAGGAGAGTCAGGCACCAGCGTGGACCTTGGGCTAATTCTCCACCAGCGATTCTGAGCCCAGTGTCAGAGGCTAAGGTGTGGTTTACCACGGAGTCAATATTGCCTCTGTACCCTCCAGTGATGCTTGTCTGGGAGATGGTTGTAAGGGGGGGGTGGATTTTGGGGTATAGAAGACAAAATTGGGGATTGAGAAAGTCTTGGTTAAGGTCATGGAGGAGGGACTGAGGTTGGTAGCTATGGAGGGTAGAGGAGGCACGGACTACTTGAAACAGATCTTAGAGGTTCAGAAGCTACCACCCTTTAGAATCGCAAGTGTGAACCAGAGAGGAAGACCTGGTCACTCTATCAAGTAGACAGATGTAGTTGGTGCCCAAAAGACAGGTGCTGTCTAGGAAGACATTTAATACTCAGAACCTCCGACATAGGCGAAAGGAGCTGTGGCATAGGCCTCCAAACACACCTGGGAGGTGGAATCCAACTTAAAGGGGCCCAGGCCAGAGTGCCCAGCATAAAGTAGAGGCGTGTGTTTGTCAAGCCTGCTGCTGAATTAATTCCTTTGTAGCTCAGGATGCTTGTTTCCCTTGTAGAAGCTAGGTACTCTTTCTGGGATGGAACCCAGGAAGAATACTGGGTCATTCCTTTGTTTTGTTTTGTTTTTAAAAAGAACCCCCAGTGATTCATCTTGTTTACTGCTCTTCTTTGAGGGAGGAAGGCAGTGGGGGAGGAAGACAGGCTGGATAGGTACAAGGAGATGGTTCCCTTGGGTCACATGCTGTCTCTGGCTTACAAGTAAATGTCCCCAGCAGATCTTAGCCAATGTCAGGCAGCCAGTCTGGGATAGATCAACTAGGCCAACTCACAGGGCAACTCTGCCCAAAGGATCCTTACAGCAAAAGTACATTTTGAGAGGCGTTAAGTCTTTTGGATACGAAAAGAATTGTGGTTTTTCAGGTCAAACTATTTTCTATCCCATCCAAGAACAATCATACCAGTCCCCATTAGCAGCTCACGCTGGGTACAGTGGACCTGAGGGAGCATCGGATCTAACCTGGCAGAGCTCTCATCCAGAGGTAATGAACAACCAGTGGACAGGGCGGGCCGGGACACACTGTGGTGACCAGTGGACAGGGCAGGCCAAGACATACTGTGGTCACCAATGGACAGGGCGGGCCGGGACACACTGTGGTGACCAGTGGACAGGGCAGGCCATGACATACTGTGGTCACCAATGGACAGAGCGGGCCGGGACACACTGTGGTGACCAGTGGACAGGGCAGGCCATGACATACTGTGGTGACCAATGGACAGGGCGGGCCGGGACACACTGTGGTGACCAGTGGACAGGGCAGGCCATGACATACTGTGGTGACCAGTGGACAGGGCGGGCTGGGACACACTGTGGTGACCAGTGGACAGGGCAGGCCCTGACATACTGTGGTCACCAATGGACAGGGCGGGCCGGGACACACTGTGGCAGCAGTGTGGCATTTTTTTTTGAATCAGGAAGAGCACTTAGCGAAACACATCCTCTAATCCCAGTGGGACAAGGTAAGGCGAGATCTCCCCTCCTGGAGAAGCTTTGGGTGCCTCCCTCTGCCAGGCAGAACCCAGACTCCACATGGCTCCGATTCTCATGCAGTAAGAGACCTTCTCGGTTTCATTAACTCATGTCATGTTTCTGAAGACTCCATAAGGCTATAAAGGTGCCATGAGCTTATCAGTCCAACAAGGTTTCCATGGGGAATAGCTTAGACTCAGAATTCATTTTCCACACTTAATGTAAATGTAACCCATAAAAGTCCCATTTTCTAAGAAGCCCAGCTCAAAAGGAAGCATTTGGCTCCCCACTCCCCTGCCCCCATCTCCCAGAGCCTCCTGTGAGTGCTAATGACCATGGGATCCAGGCAGACAGACCACAAAAGGAATTCTCCAGTGAGCTCATACCTCCCCTGGCCTGCTGGCTGCTGCCTCCCTCTGGGCAGCCCCTCAACACTGGCTGTGCCTGTGCCTAGCCTCTTCAAGATGACATGTGCTAGCTATGTGCAGAGGTCTCCACGGGAACAATGCTAGCCTGGCCTTTGGGATCCGCGGGCACCAGCCTTTGGCACCACCATCCCTGATCCCAGTGGGGCTTCAGGACACCGACAAGCCATACCAAACAATCTCTTTCCTCTTATTTAAAACCCAAACCAAAACCAATCCTGGTTGGGGTTCTCTAGTGAAGAAACTCTGCAGAAGGGGTTTCCTGAAATCCAGGCTCTGGGACTCTGGAGCCTCTGGGAATAGACCGTAGAGGGGAGGCAGAAAAGAGGCCAGGAGCCAGCTAGAAGGATCCCTGGCTCATGCCTTTGCTGACTCCTTTCTTTGGCTGACTTTGCATTTCCTATGCATCTTTCCAGGATCAAAGGCCACCGGGCATCTCTTGCCACACTCCTGATTCTCAGTGGCAGCAGCTGAGCACTGGAAGGGACAGGGCTTCCTTGCCTTCCCTGGACTTTGAGGGCTTGCTGCGCGGTGCTGGTTCTTAAGTCTGACTTTGGGAGAGAGGAGGAAGATGAGCGAGGGGCATCGTGGAAGGTCAACCACTCACCGACATCCTGGTGCTCTCGTCTCTTGGGAAGGATGGGGCTCGCAGCCCCAGGATGTTATATCACCAGACTGGGGAGAGAACCTAGGAGACACCTTCTCTGTTTTGTTATGGGGGTGGGGGTGGCACTGACAGCTACACTAGAGACTTGCAAAAGGGAGAGTGGGGGTGTTCATTTAGCATCAAAATACAATGCTGGGGCGGGAGTCTGGGGTGGCCTGGCGAGGTGCTGGCTGAACGACACCATGGACCTTCCCAGAGCATGATGTGGGCCCTCAGGAGATACAAAGCATGGTGGAGAGAAGCTCACCACTTTCTGTGGGAGCCTAACCAAAGTTCCTGAGGTCCCACAAGCCCGTTCCTCTCTGCACCCCTCACTTCCACCCAACTCCAGTCAAAGAAGAAAGGGTTACACATGAGACAAGTTAGCACAGACACTCGTGTCTCACATCACACTGGGTACCTAGGGATGGGTGAGGACACACCCAAGGCGATGTGTACCCCAAAGAGAGGAGAAATGTACCCCAAACAACAGGGAAAATTCCTCAGGGAAAAGGGGAACAAAAGACAATCAAGTCATCATTGTGGTCACACTACAGGAAAAATAACTTCCATTCTTTGCAAAAAAAAAAAATGTGTGAAGGCCAAATTTGTGTTTTTCTTTAAAAAAAAAAAAGTTGCATGAATTAACAATGCAACCATTATCTTTCTGTTTTGTTTTCTGCACTTGTTAAAAAAAAGTTTTTGTTTTTTTTTTTGTTAAGTACAACACAGTCAGGTATACGGACACAGAAGGATAGCTGTCTTTGGCAAGAAGTCCGGGCCTTGGCCCTCTCTGTCACCTTCGGCCCATCTCGCTCTGTCTCATGAAGTGGATATTGTTGGCGCTGTCCGACAGTTCTGGGTACTGCTCGACGGAGGTGACAAAGAAGCCGTCATAGCCCTGCACCCGCCCTGTGTTCAGCACCTGCTGCCTCTCCCCCTCTGTCCAGGCCCGCAGGCCTTCCTCTCCTTCCCGCAGTCTTTGCTGCTCCCGGGCCCAAGCCTGGCGTACAGCTCTCTGCCTGGCCAGCTCCAGCACCCGCGCCTTCTCCTCATCCACGGTTGTCCCGTAGCGGGTGTTCAGGCACAGTGCCCTGTATTGCAGCTGGATGTCAGTGTAGCGTCTAGTCCTGCCACTGAGCATGGTGTTGATCTGGGACACCGTGACGTTGACCCCGTTCTCCAGAGTTCGCCGCCCCCCACTGAGGCCCAGGATGGCCAGGTCGCCTTCCGAAGGTCCTGGTTTCACAAAGTAGTGGGTGTCCACCCCGTCAATGGTGAAGTGAAGGTTCTCTAGATAGTGGGCATTGTTCAAGATGGCCGCAATCCTCCGCCCGTCCTCATTGGCCACGCTGATGATGTCTGTGGTTACGCGGCCATCTTTCAAGGCAAACTTGACCCCCTTGCCAAAGATGGAACCATTGGAGGCAAACTTCTTTGTCTCTGGGGCCTGCTGGCAGCTGGTGATGGTGGAGCCATAAAGCTGGTCAAAGCGTTCTAAGGTAACGAAGGCCTTGAGTTGCTTCTGGACTTCACATTGTACCCCAAGGATAGACTGATGGGGCAGGGTCATGAAAAAGAGAGAGGAAGAGAATAAGATAAGAGGAAAATCAAACTCCTGAGAGCACCAAGAATCAGGGCAAACGGTTATATGGAACCTCCAGGTAGTTTGTCGCATCTGTCTTGATGGTGCTGACCATCAGAATACCCAGCCATCCTTCATCCATTCATTCCCACACCCTTCTATTCTGGGCCAGTTCCGAAGAAGCTGCTCTGGCCAGGTCCCTTTCTGAGCAATGAAGATACAAAATGAACTGGACGTCACTGTTGCCCTCAGAGAACTCACTGTTTCATGGACACAGATGGACATGACAACAATGTTGCGACCACATGTAATGAATGACTGGTGATTTAGAAGACATAATAGCTAATAGATACAGTAATAGTTCTTGATCTTCAAGCTCAAGTTTACCACTCAACACCCTGCTTGAGCCCTCTAGTAGATACTCTTATTGTTTCAAGGTCACTTTTTTTTTGAGACAGAGTAGGGGAGTCAAGGGCAGCTGCAGTGAGAAGCAATCAAGGCTCAGAAGATGCTCAAGCTAATGATGGAGAAGAGAGGGAGAAGGGAGGGTTCCAAGGGGAGGGCCAAGCCCGAGTTAGGACTTAAAGAACGTGGAGGGTGACGTTAGCGGAGGGATAGTAAGAAAGACACGATGTTAGGACAACCAGAAATTGTCTCAGGCCTCTCACTTTGTTCTATTGCTCTGCACCTGCATTGTCCAAATATTTGAGGGACAGTCTCTGTCCCATAGTGCCTCCTCAAGTATCTCTGCATGTGGCTATGTGGGGTCAGGTTGGACCCTGTTGACCTGGGGTACCATCTTAAGGAGCTCAGTGAAACTGTGCTCAGGGCTTCAGGGCTTTATCAGCAACTCAGGGCACAGGCTTTTGAAACAGCCCCATCAGCCTCCCGTTGAAATTAAGTCCTCTTTATAATTAATTGAACCCTGTCTGTGAACAATTATTTCCTAGAGTTTCACAAAAGCCAGAGTGCTCAACAACAAAGATCTTCAATGCTTGCCAAGGGCAGAAATCAATAATTCATTGACAGGCAAGGTTGGCAAACAGGCAGTCAGACAGGGACTCTGGGGAGCACAGAAGGAACCTGGTGGGGGAGGAAGCGCTGTGTGGCTGGAATCAGCCTTGGGGACAGCAGATGCTGGGACATCTGCACGCAGGGGCTGGGGTAGTAAGGTCTGGTACAGGCTAGCACAGAAAGAGGAGGGGCTCTATGGCCAGACAGACAGACACAGGTTCATGTTATCTTCTGTCATTCCCCAGCTGAACATCCTTGGGTAAGCTTTCTCTGAGCCTAGCCTCCTTATTTATAAAATGGGCTCTTTCCATGGGTCAGTTATGGTACCACAGAAGCACCGACAGTGTGCTAGCCTGTATGCTGGGCACTAATTGAGACGTGTAACTTAACCTGCTGTGTTTCATCATCTAGAAAAGGAGTAAGAAAGAAACGGAAAGTTGGACAGAGCAAACCACTTGATCAGACTCATCCACAGGATTGGGAGGCGGCAACTAAGATGAGCCTAAAAGAATTAGTCTAGAACAAGAAACAGGAACATGGTACTGGTGGGCTGGCTCAGTTAGCAGAGCTGACCCCACATGCATGAGGACCTCGGTAGAGAGCTGAGGATGGAGGCGGACATACATCTGTAGCCCCGACACTCGGGACAGAGAGAGGGAGATCATGGTTCTTTTGGTCAGCTTGTCTGAATCTGTGAGCTTCAGATTCAGCAAGGGACACACAAAAACACAATATTTCTGTCCAAAAGGTGACTGTATGTATACACACACACACACACACACACACACACACACACACACACCCCATGTGTGCCAAGGTAGGGGAAGCAGGAGACAGAGGAAAAGGGGAGGGGTTGGAGGGGAGACCAGGAAATTTTCCAAGCCCAGGACCATGCTCTGTGGTATTGCTGCTTCTCCCCAGAGTTTTCTGTCCCTGGACTCGCATCCCCTAGAAGACTTGGCCTACCTACTGATCTACCCCTGCATTCCATGGGTTGCAGTACAGAGCCAGGCACAGACTCTGTTCCTGGTACAGGATTTATGAACGGAGGACGAGTTTGGGACAAGCAATGCATGAAGTGAGAAGCAGGCGAGATGGGACTGTTGTAAAAGGTCTTCCCAGCCTTATAATCCCAAGCCTTTGAAATCTGGTCATAAAAGGAAGATTTTTTTTTCTCTTTCTCTCCTAGAGCCTAGTCATGTCAGACAGGTGACCCAAAGTGGACAAATCTGGGTTTGAATCGTCTCATGCATTAAACCTGGACAATGAGGAGAATAACAGCATGGTGCATTTGTGAGCTAGCTTAAGTAGAGCATCACTCAGTGCAGGTGCAGCAGGTGCTTAGAAAACACCACATCTGCATTCAGCCCTCTCGGCTAGCGCTTCTTCCTGCACGGTGGACAAAGGCTTATTATTTTTTACGGCACTCTGAACTTGGTGGCTCACACAAAACTCCCTTTATGCAGCCTGTGGTGTCCATGAGCTGCTACAGCTGGGTCCCTGGGGCCTGCTTAGCCACGGATTTGCTGTTTTCTGAAAGCTGTCCGGCAGGAACCATGAAGGTGCTACCTCAGTTTCCATCCTGCCCGGAATGGCCTGAGGTGTGGCTGTCATGTGGGGCGTTACCTTGCTGTTGTCCCATTCCTGAGTTTTCATCTGTGTGTGCACGAGCTCGTAGGACGGCTCCATGGCATCGGTGTCTGGTTTGGGATAGCCAGGTATCACGTTGTGTAGCTGGAATCCAAAGGTGAGCAGCCAGCTGTTGACATCTGGGTGGAGAGAAGCAGAAATATGCCTCGTGAGCGAGCGTGAGTGGGAAGTGACTGGTTACAGAGCTGACTGCCACACACACTGGAAAATGATGTCCTAGTCGTAAAAGCAAATGTACGGCTGGTCCCCCTCCCCCCCAGCCATCCCTTTCCCAGGCTTGTGCCCATAATTGTCCTCCGACAGGTAGATCCAGGAGAGAGGAAACCTAGGCAGAACCCACACTCCAGGTAGCTCTTTCCCTCTCTCACGCTCATCTGCTCACCCAGAGGTAGCTGCGGACGGATGACGCTCTCCCTGGCCCATCCTCACCCCCAGCGTCAATAGGAAACCCGTGCAAAGGTCAGTGAGACAGAGAAAGGATTTTCATGGCTGACTTGCAAAGTGGAAACATTCGTGTGTGAAAAAAGCTGCCCCTTCTCTATCCACCCTCTTTGTAGCCATTAGAACCTGGGGGCCATCATGCCTGCAGGCATGAGGTTGGTTAGTGAGAGGATCAAAGAGCTCTCCTGCGGGCTACCTGTCTTATTTCTGACAGCACTAGGAAGTCTCTCAACCTCCCAGGGCCTCAGCCTGCTATTCTCTAAGATGGTTAATCATATTCCTTGGAGTTGAGAGTTATTGATAAGGTATTTCGGTGAGCATTAGGCTCACTGAAGCATGGACTCAGAAACCTGTGATCCCAGGTTGGGGTATACTTCAGCTGGTAGAGTGCTCGCCTAGCCTGCATGAAGTCCTGGGTTCAGTCTCCAGCACTACATAAACTGGTGTCCGTCTTTCCTGCGCCCAAGAGGCAGAGGCGGGAAGAACAGAAGTTGAAGGCCATCCTTGGCTACATAGTGAGTTTGTGGCTAGCCTGGGCTACATGAGATCTATTTAAAAATAAAGCAAAGCAAAACCAAGGATGAAAACAAAAATCCATCCAACTAACCAACCAAATAAAGAACTGCAAAAGCCATGCATGACCTTAGATAGGGGTCGAGGCAGGCTATCATGCGGCAGAAGGCCCACGGTGCTGGCAGATGCTATGTCATCATAGAACCTCCCCTTGAACACTTATGACCCCAAAGGGAGATGAGGACTGGGCCCATAGATCTCTTAAATATGATTAAAATCAGACATGATGAAGGCATGTCATTGAAGCCTAACGAGAAAACCATGGCTTGTCTGGCATCCTTGGAGGTGGAGGTTGTACTCCAGGCAAAGATGGCCACACAAGGAGAGGTGCCTGAGAGGGGGCAGTGAGGACGAAGCAGAGAGGACTTCATAAATGCTGAGGAAGGACTAGAAACGACAGAGCCTGGGGTGGCCGGAGGGAGGTTATCTGAGCCTTGCTGGAGGTAGTCTGTGTTGCAATGCAGCTCAGCCTTCTTCCGGAGGGGGCAGCTGAAGACGCTAAAGCTCTCATCGGAGGGACTCAGAATCCAAACTGACAGGGGGAGAGGTGGACAGGGTTTTGTGGCCAGCTCCAGAGCCGGGTTCTTTTGTTTTCTTTCCAGTGGAGACATATCTCTGTTGAGAGGTCCAGGGATGAGCCTGCCAAGGAGGAAGTGATAGTCCCCACCCACCGCAGCTGCTGAGTGGGAGTGACCTGTGGGGGTCAACAGGCAAGTGTGTTTTTGCAACTTTGTAGCAACCCGTGTTTCTCTCCTGCCTAAGCACCTCACATCTGTTTTTGCCTTTTCTGTTGTTTTCTGTTTTCCCAGGCCCATTAAACCCAGGTTTAAGTTCCCCCTTTATCCTTGCTATGCAGGTCACAGAAGGGTTTCTTAGTGTACAAACAATGAACTTGGAGAGCTTACTTTACTTCTCAGAGACTTCTCCTGGGTCTGCATACTGAAGCAAGAATGGTTTTTACTAAGTCTTAGTAGAAGATAAGGATATCACTTGAAGGTAGCTGTTGTATAGCAGGAGCCTAAAATGTTGGGTTTAATCCACAGTCTCCAGATCAGGTACTCCCTCACAGAGGGCTTTCTGCCTTTGTCTATCCCAAGACCCCCATTTTCTTATTTGCAACAGGGGGCTTGGATGACTTCTCTATGGCCCTTTCCTCATTGAGATTCCAGAAGTCTCTCATTCTATGAGTCTCAGCAGATGGATCTTCGGGAAATTAAAACTAGCAGAACATGGGGAAAGAACATCTCACAAAGCCGTCTTGCTCTAGGCTGAGACTGTGCGTTGGGATTTGTGGTTGCGAGGGACTCTTCTATCCAGAATAGCGCACATTCCCAGGGAAGCAGGGGATGCAGGAGAGGGCTGGGCTTTAATTAGGAGTGATGGAAGATGGGAAGCTTGCTCTCACGCCTTTCAGGAAAACGTCGGAGATCTATTTATTCGCTAGCTTTCCCACCAGGCTTTTCTGAAGCACTGGGAATTGCACTCTGACGACCTGAGGGGCAGGCGTCTCCTTTCCATTGAAATGCTCTGCTTTACCTGTCAGTCCCAGAAGTCACTGCTGCCAGGAGGGAGGGATAAAATGCAAGTGATCTGAATCCCTTTCACGTGGGTGTGACTTTCGTGCTTCACAGAATGTACTTGAGTTCAAAGAAGGCTAAGCATTTGAAGGCTGACCCACAGAGTTCCAAGGCTGGCCTCCCCACAAGTTTGGGTCTTTGCGGGAGGGGAGGGTTAATTTGCCTGTCCTTAACTTCCTCACTCCAGGGGTTTTGGGAAAGACTTGTCCTGATGACCTGTGAGATACACCTGTGGTGGGCATTTTAGGGTTGCCTCCCCAAGACCTAGCTCTACCTTCTTTCTTTGTTGGGAGGGAGAGGGGAGCAGGCACTGATGGAGCAGTGGACCATGTGATCCAGGACGAGCCAATCAGCTCATTCTGTCCTCAACCCCAAAGCGCTCCATTGTCACATGACCCAGTAAGGTCACATGACCTTACTAGACTATAGCTGAGTGTTGGGGTTAAGGTGTGTGCCACCACCGCTTGGCTGAGACATTGGGGTTTTTTGGTAAAACAATTTAGAAAAGTTATAGGTAGGTATACTAAAGAGCTCTTCTCACTACAGAACCTCGTAACCTCCACAAACCGAAGTATATTAGGAAAAGTTAAGAATGTGGTCCTGTCAACTCTGTTTGATGCTGGATCCATTATTTCCAAAGTAGTTTCCAAACTAGTGTTTCTTTAAATAGACTTTGGGGACCAATGCCACTAGAAGCAGTCAGTGTCTCCCGCCACCCCACACCTGCTCTTTACCAGAGCAACGGGGTAGGTCCTGACCTGGGGGTACCCCAGCCCTCACCTGTCATGAAGCACTTGATGTCCTGAGAGTTGCTGATGGGGTTGTTGTTCTTGAACATGTAGAGGTGAAAAGGCACAATGCTGCTGCTACTCAGGCGTTTCCAGAGGTCATGGTCTGGGCTCGTCCAGCGTCCGGCCAGCACATCGTAATCGCGCCGGCCCATGTGGACGAGCTTGGTGAGTGGGTCGTAGAGGCCGCCGTGGTAGCCGATGATGATCTGGAAGTTGGGGTTTGTGTCCATGTAGATCTCCCCGTAGGCTGTGTAGAGGATCTGCTTTATCATCAGGCCGGTTCCACTGAAGACCGCGAGAGGGGTCCCGATGTTGTCGCAGGCGATGTAAAACTCGTCGCCGCTGCTCAGCTCCATGGCGAAGAGGTGTCCTTGCAGGTCGTAGTAGAGGGATGTGATCTCGGAGCTGGAGTGGTTGTAGAGGTGGGTGACCTTGGTGGGGTTGGTCAGGTCCGCGTAGAAGAACTGCAGGTGATGACTGTGGCTGCTCTTGCTGGACACGCGCCGCCCCAGGCCGTCGTAGCGGTACCTGACACTCCAGCCACTGGCCCGGTTGTAGGCTTTGATGAGCAGGCCCGCCGAATTGTATTCGAAGACATCCCCACCCCGCTGCCTCAGGAAGCCGTCCTCATCCACCTTGTACTGCACATCACCCAGCCTCGTGATACGGTCACGGAGGTCGTACCGTAGTGGCGTGAGCCGGGCGCTGTTCCCGGGGCTCAGCAGGTGCAGGTTCCCATTGAGGTCATAGCTGTAGCGCCAGAGAGGCTTGTCGTTGATGGAGACTGTCTGCAGCTGGCCGTCGGCATCGTACTCGTACGAGTAACGGGTGGTGTTGGCGTAGGGTCCCACCTTCAGCTCCTTCTTCACTACCCGCCCCATGTTGTCGTACTGGACGGTCATCCAGTACATGAGGGACCGGAAGATTTCGTACTGTACTTCCTTCATCCTGCCGTAAGCGTCGAAATGCTTGGTGTGGGTCATGACGGCTGTGGTGATGATCTGGTTGATGTCGTAGTAGATGACACCAAACTTCCCAAACTGTTCCGTCTTCCCTGACACATCATCATAGCGGTACAGATCGATGGGCAGTGGGGTCTCGTTGATCACAGCCTGCATGCTGGTCACGCGGAAGCTGTTGTCGTAGTTGTAATCGAAACGGGCGTTGACCATGCCTTCCTCTGTGAACCGGAAGATCTGGCGGTCGATGAGGGGCCCGATCTGACGGTAGCGGATCGTGCAGGTAAAGCCCTCGCTCTGGAGGTTGACGGTCTTCAGCATGCCCGCCGTTTCGTCGTAGGTGAAGCTCACCTTGGTGGTGTCATACAGAGTCTCGGCCAGCTTCGACAGCTTGCCGTACTTGTAGACCACCCTGCGGCCAGTGCCCAGGTAGAAGGTGTGCAGTAGGTGCCCGTCCTCGGTGAAGTCCTGAATGACGGAGGCGTTGCCTTCCGGGGGCTGGTAGATGTTTCTGTAGTAGCCCACCGAGCGGATGGTTTCCAGCGTCTGCCTGGCTACGTTGGGCATGGTCACGGAAGAGAGGCGGTCGTTCTTGTCAAACTCGAAGATGTACTGCCTCTGGCTGTGGAGGTGAAGCACCATGGACTGGGGGGAGAAGACAGTCAGAGATGAAGGGGGTGGTGGAAGGAATGACAACCCAAGTACCCACAACATAGAGGTAAGGAATGAGAGCGAGCAAAGTGGCAGAGCCTTCTTGCATGTGCACCGTGGGATGCTGCCAGCAGTTAGAGAGGCACTGTGGCCGGGCTTTTGCTCAGCCTTTGGCCTTGCAGGGTCCACACAGGCCATTTGCTTTCCTCTTGTGAGCAAGTAGTCTGTTTTTTGTCCAGTATGGATCAGATCACTTCTGCATGCCATGGGGTGCGAGACCGCAATACTCTGCCCTGCAGTATTTGTAACTGCCTTCCCTGACCCAGACTTTTTGACCTCAGTCTTTCTATCCAAGGGAGAAGGAACATTACAACACAGCCTGATGGTCTTAAAGCCTTTGCCTGCTAAGCAACTTCTGAGGCTTCCCTGAGCTTGTAACAAGGTAACAAGTCTACGTCTAACTATCAAATCTACCAGCTGGGTGGTGGCAGCAGATGCCTTCAATCCCAACACTCGGGAGGCAGATCCAGCCTGGTTTATAGACAGAGTTCCAGGAAAACCAGGGCTACACAGAGAAACCCTGTCTTGAAAGACAAATATAAAACAAAACAAGCCCCTCCCCCAAATAAACCAAACGGAAAACCTACCACTCCCTCTTCCCTATATGAGATCAACTTCTGAATTTAGGTAATTTAAAAATTTACCCAAACACATGTAGAATTTATGTCATGTTTTTATTCCTAGTTTCTGGGGGAAGTGAATCCTGACCCAAAGTGGAAGGGATCTGCTAGGCCCGCACCCAGGATTAGCAGCAGGGGATTGAGTTTGCTGTGCCTCTGAGGTGACCTCCAGGCTTGGATATCCAGGATGAGGCTGCACACTGTGTGATGGTTCTGGAAGCAGGAACTGGTCCTGTGTGAGCATCCTCGTGAGCCACTCTAGGAAGGTCCTACATTATCATCCAATATGGTGGGCGGGCCTCCTGTTCTCCATCAGCACGACTTCTGTGTTTTCCTGGCTTAGGACCTTTTCCTCACTGCACTAAACCCGTTTTCCTCCTGGGACCCCCTTTCCCCTTAGAAAATGCACATCTCCCCTTTTGGAAACCTCAACAGTCAGATTCATTCCTCTGAGGTCATCAGGCAAGGCTTGGTAAACTGGGGTACCTAGAAAAGGGGTGATGCTGGCACAGAGGCAGATGTGCACACAGGCAATGAGGAAAGCAGGTGCCCTAGAGAATGCCTTCAGTTGCTCAGCAGGCCAAGACAGGAGGATCCGTGGAGGAGCCCAGGAGTTCAAGCACACCTTGGGTAGCGTAGTGGTACCATCATAAAAAATAAAGCCACAATGATCAGCCTTCTATGTGGCAAGGCCATGGAAGAAGGGAGGCAGACACCCACCTTCTCTAAGTATGTGTAGCTCCACATCTTCCCATCTGCAAAGATCCGGGACGTGATGCGCCCTGCCTGATCATATTCCATCCTCTCAGACATGATGCCCCTTTGGATTCCGGCAATGTGACCCCCAGGGGAGTAGGTCACATTAACCCCATTCAGCCTGCTGCTAGGCGACCAGAGGCTTGGCCTCCCTGCCTGGTCGTACAGGATCCGGAGGGTGAACTTGCGGTGGTCATCGTAGATCTTCTCTGTGCGTGTGACACGGTCAAAGTCCAGAGACAGGAGGTTTCGGTTGTGAACCTGGGAAAGGGACAAGAAAGAGAGGGGCTCTGGGTGTGGGCATGGACGATGTGGCCCTGAGGGCCAACAACTGTGTCGAGTTCCTGAGAAAAGAAGGCAGCACCGGGGGTTGTGGGCATCAAACCTCACTCTGCCATCTGTGAGCTCTTTGAGGTTTCCTTATCTGCACAACAGGAAAAAAAAATGTACTTCTTGGCCTCTTGTAGGAATAAAGACAACATGGGTAATGAGCATACAGCATCTGTGGCTGTAGAAGACACATGATCTTATCATGTGATACATTAATGGGAACTTATTTAAAAGAAGAAGAAGGGGAGGAGGAGGAAGTCAGATCCTTCTTAGCTCCTAAAATCGGAACTGCCAAGTGAGCCCAGCAAATCAACACCTGATCTGTCTGCTATGAGCCAGACGCTGTGCTGTGTTGGATTCCGAGGTCACCGAGCGCAGGGAAGCTGCAGATCTGTGGACTTGACTCTCGCTGGTGCAGTAGATACTTGAAGGCTTTCTGAGCAAGTCCTGGCATTCCTGGGGCCCTCTACTTGCTATGATTTGGGTCTCTCCTGTTTTTGCCCACAGTCAAGGCATCTGTTTCTCCTCAGAGGTGGCTGGGAGGCAGGGGCATTCACACCTCCTGTGTTTTTCTCCTCATAGTTCATTATAGTCGGAACTAGTTCTAACTCTGTTAGAGGACTTTGCTTTTGCCTCCAGGGTCAGGAGCCCCAGCGTAGTCTCCCTGGGGTCTGTGAGGCTGCCGCTAGCTCAGCTTCCTTTGTGAGTCGGAAGTATAGACTTCCATAAAGGAAGCTGCACGTTGGAACTCTGTATGTGTTTGTGTGTTCGAGTTGGGATACACAGGAACCTGGAACTTTCTATTTAGGCTAGGCTGGCTGCCCAGTGAACCTCAGGGGCCTATCCTCTCTGCCTTCCCAGCGCCAGGATTACAAACGGTACCACCATGTCTGTCCCCAAATGTTCACAGGTTCTTCAAAGCTAATGTTTACTGGTGGGGCTAGGGAGGGGTGCTGGCCCAACAGGGCACAGGGGGCACCTTTGCTGTCTCTTCTACTTGTCGTTTAGTAAGTCTGACAAGCAGGAAGACCTAAGGGGCTCAGGTTTTTAGGTCACACGATGTAAAATGCATGAGTGGCTTGAGGAAGTCAAAGGTCGTTTTGGGATCTGTGCATTTAGAAGAGGGTTTGGGTGTAGGCAGGGGTCAGGGTTAAGGTTGGAATTCCAACCTCGAGGAGGAGACCAGCTTTCCTGTGTGACCTTGCCCAAGTACCTTTACTTCTCTGAGTCTCCCGCTAGACTCTAGACTATGAATAAGCACCCGTGGACAAGTAGGTGCATAGAAGGCGCTGGATAAATGGCTATAATTATTTCCACTAAATGACAGCACATGACCATGGTTAGTCCTAGAGGAAGGAGAGATATGTGTGTGTCTTCCCCCAGTCTCCCTGTACAAATGTCAAGGCCCCGAAAATCAGGATTTATAATGATGCCGCGGAGACGGCTGTAGCTGTGAATGGCCTGGTTATAATAAGCTTGCCTTCCCTAGGGTAATCAAACACAATTGCAGAAGCAAAAACTGTGTGGCAGACAATTCCCATGAAAAATCAGAGGCGCCGGAAGCTCATCCCGTGTTCTTTGCAGAGAGGGTACGCGAGAAGAGGGGGCCACACTGCCAACAGCGATGGGCACATTTAAAAAGCATGTTTTGGGAGGTTCTTTTATACCCTCAGGGTTGGTGCCACCTAGACAGCCTCCCCCATACCCGAGGACGCTAGTGGAGAAGGGGATCTGTACCTCTGTGACAAAATTAATAAAACCGAGTTGAACAGTTCATGGGGGGAAGCACCTTGTGTTTCCTGTGCTTGGCAGCGGCGGCAATGAGATTATTTTACATCTTTCTTTATTAAAAACAACCTCCCAGCTGTATAAAAAATGAGCCCCATTATGGAGAGGTACACCCGGCTAACATTCTCATTCCACACACCGCCACTGTGGGTGGCCATTTATTTTGGGAGGCAGCAGAGACGTGGCCACCGGACTAGAGTATCATCTATCTCCGGCTGGGAGAGGGACCAATTAAAAGCCTGGGAAACTTCTGGTCCTGTTCACATGGTAGAGAGGCACTCCTAAGAGCCCTAATCACTGCCCTTTCCTGAGCACCTGGGATCTGCAGCCCTGGGCTAGCTAGGTACCTTGAATGCACCAGCGTCCCACGGCTGCTGAGGATGTTTAGGCTCAGAGCAGTTGCTGGAGGCTACACAAGAGGCCCAGCGGGAATCCAACCTAGGTCAAACTTCCCCTTTGGCTCGCTGCCTCAGAGGTGCATTGAAGGGCTCTTGAGAAAGCAGATGAGTGTTTAGTGAGACCACAGATGGTGTCAGGAACAAAGACAGCCAGGAACTAGTAGGGGGCAGGTTTCCACATTAGCTAGCTAGCCCTTGAGGGTGCAAAGGAAACCTGGCTTTTGTGGCTCTGGGTTTTGCTATTGGATAAGTCACTCCACCATTGCTGCTTCTGACATGGGTCTCTTTCCCAGGATCTACAACACCTAATCACATGAATCTGAAACAGTCACTTGTTTTCTGGACTTTGCCCCACGTTGAAGATGGGAAGGTCTTAGCTTTCTTGGTTGTTGGAATCGAGAGTTCAGTGTTGCTGTGTGGATGTTTCTGTGGTTCACTGCGGCTCAGCAGCTGTCTCCTGAGCACCTGTGTTCAACGAGGTGCTGGGCAGAGAGCCAGGTCCAGGTCACCAGCTGTCCCTTTGTACAGCCCTTGTCTTCTGCTTTGTACTGTGCTTTGCTGCGCAATCTGCTGGGTAAACACTCAACCACTGACCCAAAGCCCCAGGCTCCCTTAGCCCTGGTCTCTTCTTTGTTCCCATGCTAAGGACCCAGCAGACAAGTGCTCAGCTATTGAGTTCCTGCATTGATGCTCTTTGCCCTTTAACCCTTTACATTTTGAAATGGGGGGTGGGGGGTGGGTGGGCAGTAACAACATCCTAGCAATAATGACATAAGCTGCAGAAGTTACTGATCCCTGATGTGTGCTGTGCCAAGCCCTCTGTGAGACACTGTGCATGTCACTTCTGGTCCTTGGAATGGCACGTAAAATAGGTTTTATCTCCCAGGGACTGACACTGGAGCTCTAAGATGACTGACATGCCCACGTTCAGTCCACAGAAGAAAATAAGCTGGAAACTCAGTGTAGGCTCAACCACAAAGTCAGCCATGTTCCCGAACCCATCAAAACCGAAAAGGATGTCCCACAGTCCTTTGTTACATGTGGTTCATGGTCTCAGCTCTCCCTACGGCAGATGAGGAAACTGAGGTTTTGGGGAGAGTCTTAAAAATGGAATTTGCTTCTCTGAACCCCACCCCCCCCACCCACCAGATTGGTGCCTGCAAAATTATGCTCACCCGCAGACGGCGCCCGAAGACTGTGACCTGCCCGCGAGCCTGCTCCTTGCGCTGCCGCCATTCCACCAGGTTGAGGCCATTGTCGATGGGCAGTGTGACGTTCCTCTTGCCCACAGTGGGGTTGACGGTGCCAGCCAGCAGGTGTGGCTCGGTCTGCAGGGCCACTTCCATGCCGTTGGCTAGCAGTAGCCGCAGGGAGCCATCAGCCCCGATGTAGTAGCTGTTCCGGACTTGGTCTGAAGGAGAGGAGAGCAAAGACGCTTAAGATGAGGGAAGGCAGAGGCTGGGACGGGGGTCAAAATGTGCCCCCCGCAACTATAGAAGCAATGCATCACCACTGAGAAAAACTAGGAGACTATGCATAAGCCCACTACTCAAAACCATCGGAAATATTTTGTATATCTGTAGAATTTACAATATTTCCTAATGCATTTACAGAGTCAAATGGTTACTGTGGAGTTTTCCATCATCCAATGCCTCATATCATGCCATTAAATATTTTTAATAAATATTTTTCATAATAACTACAGTCTTCCATTAAATGGCAATACAATTTATTTAATAATACCAGATAGACGTTTAATTTGTTTTAGCTTGCTTTTTTTGTTGTTGTTGTTGTTATTTTCTTTTTGGTTTTTGGAGACCGATTTCTCTGTGATGGGCTTTGGAGCCTATCCTGGAACTTACTCTATAGACCAGGCTGGCCTTGAACTCACAGAGATCCGCCTGCCTCTGCCTCCCGAGTGCTGGGATTAACTGCCCAGCTTGTTTCAGTTTTTCCAACTACTAATAAAACTGTAAGAAAATATATTATCAATTATCACTAAGTGAAAGAAGTCTGACACAAGCGGTCATATATCTTTTTTAGCTGAGAAGTCTTCAAAATATGATAGGTAGCTTTATTGTTATTCTATGTGCTTGGTGAGTATTCAGTGGATTAAATTAGGTATGTCCCAGGCTATGTTAAACCATAAAAACATTGTGCTGGGGATTACAGCAAGACGAATCTCTGGTTAAGATATTTGCTGCTCTTGCAGAGGACTTGGGTTCAATTCCCAACATCCACACAGCAGCTCACAACAGTCTGTAGTTCCAGTTCCAGGGGACCTATCTGGTCCCCTCTTTTGGCTTCCATGGGCACCAGACACGAATGTGTTGCACTTTTATACCTGCAGGCAAAATGCCCATACACATGGAACAAGATCAATCTGTCTTTTTAAAAAGATAGTTTTCATGGGAAGCCCTTGCTGAATCTCCCCGCTAAGGTGACATCCACTCAGGCCTTCCTTCTCTCTTCCCCATTCCATCTTTCCACGCGGTACCGCTTGCAGGGATTCTGCAGTCGGCCTCAATGTTGCTATGCATCGTTCACCGACAATCTGTATTTTGCTTCCATCTGAAGAGTGGGAAAGCCTGTGTCAATTCATCTCGTAAAGCGTCTCCTCGCTGAATGCACATGCGTCCATTACGGTTGACTCTGGATGGACCAGCGTGCGGGGAGGTCCAGCCCACACGCGGTCCTGGTTAGTGTGGGCTGTGCCGGCCCAAGGATGCCACTCATTAGCAGCTCCTTCTCATTATTTCTCGTAGTTCAGACCTGAGATGAGAGTGAAACAGATTTCTGACAAGGAGAGGCTCCTGAGATGGCGGCCAGGCTGAGCATCCGAGTCTGGGACACAGAACAGACGGGCAACCTGCAGGGGTGCCAGGCAGAAAATAGGTACCGCTCGTCCCTGTATTCTAGGGTGTGCTTTTCATGTTCCGATGTTTCTGGAGTTGGGGTTCTAGGCATGTATGCTGGACATTGTATTTTGATTCACCCCCGCCTGAAAAGCTGGGATTAAATGGTGGGACTTTTTTAACCTGAGAAATGTGGCACTTTCGAATTTTAAAAAGTTGCCTAGCCATAAAAATCTTATTAAAGTAGACATAGCAGTGTAAAGTATGCAGACGTAACAGTTCTTGAGGGAAGAAACTCGCCAGAAGGCCCCACATCTTAACAATCATTGTCTTTGCTGTCCTAGGTCGGGCAGGGTTCTTACTGGATGGGGTCTGGGACCTTCTCTTGGCAATAACTCTGCCATAGCACACACCCTGTGATGTGTTCCAACTCCTCACTAAAAGAAAGGAATTCCTGGGCATGATCTCTCTTTCTTTAATGGCTGCTATTTTTCATCCAGCTTTTTGAAAGGGAGAAACTATGTGTGGTAACTAAACCAGTAATGAAAGCAGAAACGTTTGCCTCCTTGTGGTAAATCCAACGGCTTGCTAATCACTGAGTTAATCCAGCAAGTGTCTTCTGAGCAGTACCCTGTGCCTGGCCCATGCTGGTCTCTTTACAAATTCTGTCTGTCGTGTATCTAGGCAACTCTGTGAGGCAGATCTTATAATGCTGCTCCATTTCCAAGATTAAGAAACTGAGGCTCGGGGAAGAAGAGTTGACCCCTCTCCAGTTCATGGCAACGGGAACACGCATTGTGCAGCGGGCACAGGTGCCTCAGGTTCACTCAGGGACTCCACGCTATCCAGAACCCATTCACCATGCCTTTTTTTTCCCCGAAGAAGAAACGTGAGCACTGTGGCACTCAGGTAGCAAAGACGGAGCTAGAACTGAATCTCAGATGCCCAGTGCAAAGCTTCTTTTGCTATTGGATGTTGAGTCGAGGCTTTGGGAGTGCATCAAGCCAGGGGAGGAAGGGGAAGGGCAGCCGGAGCTTTCCTAAGTGACGCTGAATTTTCTTAAATCCAACCAAGTTTCAGTGCGTGGGGGTCCCTACTTCCTTTGGGAACAGTCTAGGTAGGGTAGGGAATTCACAGCAAGACTCCCTCACTGTCATTGACCTGAAGCTGACGTCACAAGCCATATTTGGGACGGTCTGACGGATGCATGGAAGGAAGGGTCTCTTTCCCTCAGAGTGAGTCCTGGCGGAGGCACAGACCTCTCCTGGGCTTCTGGGAGGATCTCTCCGCACCACAGTTAGGTGTGATTACTTGTGTCTTCTGCCTCCCTTGCACTAGCGTGAGGGGAAAAATCTGGGAGCCATTACAAGAGCAGAGGAGGCGGCCAAAGGATTCTCTCCCCTTTGTTCTGAAGATAATAGGACAGGACAATGGACAATCGCCCCCTCCCCCAAGTTTCTGGGAGAGGATTTCCAGGCCTCTGCCTGGCATGCTTGGCAAATGAGAAGGCAGAATGGAGACAAACCAAGAGGGAGTCTTGGTCTTGGTCTTCACCTCTGGGTCTTAAAGGCCTCAGGCCCCGGATGACTTACCTTGCAACAGGGTGTAGAAGGCACCCGAGGCAGACAGGTTGGTGGTTATGGTGACATCATCCTTGCTGGAGGTCTCTACCTGCACGTGCACGGAGCTGTCTGTGTCGCTCCGGAAACTGCTCACCTGGCCAGTTGGAAAGGTCACGTTGGTCAGGCGACCAAAGGTGTCATACCTAGAGACCGAAGGGTTGGCACTTAGTGACGGGCAAGAGGATGGGACGTGTCATGGTTGACCTCAGCTGTCACACTGACCCTAACTTAGAGTCACCTGGGAAGAGGATACGTCAATGAAAAGATTGTCTTGATCAGACTGGCCTGTGACCATGCCTGTGGGAGTGTTTTCTTAAGTGCTAATGGAGCTAGGAGGCCCCAGTCCTCTGTGGGTGGCACCATCCCTAGGCAGGTGGGCATGAGCTGCATAAGAAAGCTCTCTGTGCTAGGCGGAGGGACCCAGCCAGGAAGAAGCATCCCTCAGTGGGCTCTGCTTGAGCTCTTACCTCCAGGTTCCTGCCCTGGCTGCCCTCAGGGATGGGCTGTGACGTGGGTATGTAAAACCAATCAAACCTGTCTCTCTTCCGTGTCAGTGTTGAACACCCGTTGTTGTGATTATCAGAGCAGAATGTGTGCGAGCCATGTTCAGGCAGTGGCTTTGCACGGTCTGCCCTTTCTTTCTGGTCAGATCTACTCCCCAGTCTCCAACTTCTCCTTGTCCAGGGCTTGGCGGGGTTTCCTAGGTGCGACCTCCCCTGCTGCTATCCAGCAGGAAAAGACATCACTTATCTGAATCTTTCTTTCCGGAGCCCATGTGGCGGAAAGGATAGCCTTGCCTGTCTGCAGCCAGCATGGAAAGGCCTTGCTTCCTGCTAGAGTGTTTGGGGAGGCTGGGGTACGAGTCGGCTCCCTCCTGGGACCATGACTGAGCGCTGCAGGTCAAGACAGCTCTAGTCACACGGCCTGGATCCTGTCATCTGCCACCGCTGTGATGCAGGGGCACTGGCTCTCAGTTCATCCCTGCCTCAGCATCATTTGGGAAAGTCAGAAACGGTTGGAAAGTAACAAATAAATGAATACAGTGGGCATGGGGAGAAGAGACCATGGTTCATTCACACACTGCCTCCTGCAGGACTTGGCAGACGTGGGCACACAGTAGGTGCACGGTAAACTTCTGCTGGAAGCACAGATCTAGAAGCAACCGCTCTCATTAAGTTGTACTTCAGCCCTCTCCCCAGGCTTCTCCCCCGAGTGTTCATCTCCAAACAGAAGGCGGCTTTGCAGCAGGTGGACAATTGCAATTATTATGGAAGGTAGATTGTAATGCATAATTAAATCGAGCCAGAGGAAGATACAATGAAAAGGTCCTGTGCCTTCAAGATCTGGTTTTCATTTTACACGCCACAGCCCAAACCCAGTAATTTCCACTCTTCACATATTCCATTAGAAGGACTGAATGTCTTAATTCAATGAACATCAAATGGAACAGCCAATTTATAAATTTTGGTCTCCTAGTCATTAATTTCAGTGTCTCCCAGAGCTTGAGAAATGCCAATGGATTGAGAAATCGATCCCCCGGCCTCTTGATCAATACCTGCGATTATCCTATCCGAGTATTCTACCTTTCACATCGTGGGGAGAACTGGAGCCCCCCACGATCCGGGCCCTGAGCCCTCTGCCCTGTGGGCTGCCTCTGCACGACCCCATGGACCTGCTGAGAGTCACTGTGGCATGGGAGAGACACCAGGGAAAGACAGCTCCAGCTCCAAGTGGTTGCTTTGGGCGCCGGGTCTGTTTGGGTGATGTTGAGACATTGTCTTAATTCTGCTTATCATGGCTTTTGTTTGTTTGTTGATTTGGTGTGTTATTTTGAGACTGTGTCTGGTGTAGCCTAGGCTGGCTTTGAGCTGACTGTGCAGCTGGGGTGGGGGTGACCTTTCCGCCTCCACCTTTATCTGGTGTAGCCTAGGCTGGCTTTGAGCTGACTGTGCAGCTGGGGGGTGACCTCTCCGCCTCCACCTTACAGGTGACGGATGACAGGTGTGTGTCATCTCTCTGGCCTGACAGTCGTGCTTTCTATGACAGACACTCCCGAAGCACTGGTATGTTTTCTTCTATAAACAGGAGAGATGGAACAGTCTGAGCAGGGGTCCTGTCTCTACCCTTGACAGAGGTGAGCCTGGAGGCCCACACTCGGCTCTGTCTGACCACAGCCAGTAGTAACACAGGCAGGCTCATGGTGTAACTGTGGCAGCTATGCTTCCTTCGCCATGGCTGACCATACTAATGCTCATCTCACAAATACGCAGTAGACGTGAACTTCTGAACGTCTCAGCAGGGCCTTCCATATCCTAGGACTGTCCTCCGTGGAATGTTGGCCCCTGAAGGGAGGGATTCAGCTTGTCCTGGCTGAATGCCCACAACTTGGAGTACTTAATAAAGTGAATGAAGGTTGGCTACGTGACCCGACTCCTTCCTGTGTCTCTTTGAGCTTGCTCTTCTGAGCTTCCTTGGAGTCTCTGTGCTTCTGCTCCAAACATCCCATGCCCAGGTTGTGCTGGGGTGCTCTTCTGTTTGCAGAGGTTGATGGCTGCCTTTGAGTACAAGCCCAGCTAGTTCCTTTCAACATCTGGTGTGCTTCAGTTCAAATACACTAACAAACAGTCAGGGACTGTTTGTAAAACAGACACCCCCTTCTCTACTTCATTACTGTTCTGTGTTCTTGTCACTATTTTTGTTATCTTGTTTACCTGCCTCCTGACATTAGAATTTAAGATCCTTGAGGACAGGGGCCTTGTCGGTTTCTCAGTGCCTGGAAGAGACTGAGCATGGAGATTCTGCTCTGCGATGCTCACTGACTGAATAAGGGAATGCTGGCGATTTTTGTTGATTTTTTGGGGTCTGATTAAGAACCGTCATCTACTTTATATCCCCTTCTATATGAAGAAAGAAGAGCTTGTTAATGTTCCGAGTGCTTTTCAGGTGGTATCAAGCATCATGTTTATTAGCATCTTTCAGGGTAGGGATTGTTATTGTCGTCTTACGAATGACAGTGACGGAGGTCAGAGAGGATGATCGTCTTGCCTAAAAGGACACAGGTCATAGAAGGATGCAGATTCAAAATCAGGTCTGCTTGACCGTAAAGACTGTGTTTTTTTTTTTTTTTTTTTTTTTGGACAAACTTTCCATAAAAGTGATGCTGTTTCAGATAAGGAAAAAAAAAAAAACCTTTGTGTTCATCTCTTCTTTAAAGTGGGGAAATGGAATCCTGTTTGGAAGTCTCAAGTGGGTCAAGAGGTTCTGCTTGGCTCCGGCTGCAGCTCACTTTGCTGCAGAGCCAGGTCCCCGTTGGGAGGGGGGAGGTAAAGAGGGCCAGATGATTGGCTTGCCAGGGTTTCTTTTCCGCTGACTTTTCTTCACGCCAGTTTTCCGAAGCATCTTTACAGCATGGTGAAAGAAGACACATAAAAGATTCATGGAGCTGCTGCGAACTTGGCTTTCAGAAGAGGACCGTGAAAGGGTACCTTCACACGTGCTCCAAGGCTTTCTTCACACCATGGACTCCACTGCTAGCAGCTCGCTACGTGCAGCAAGTGGGGGTGGGGATATGCCAAGTTATCTCTGAGATACTTAACGTTTGCTGATCTTGACTTTTCGGTTGGATAACGAAGATGTTGATTTTCAAGGCTTTCATCTGTAATTGTCCTAAATACCAGTGTCACCAGCAAAGGATCTGGTCACTGTGCCGTTGGTAAAGAATTAGAGTTCAAAGCCAGCTATAACAGTAGTTCCCTCGGCTTCGAGTCACGGCAATGGATGACATCACATCACCGGGCATTCCTCAGGTCCTGTGTTCTGGCAGAGCCAGAGAACTTTCTGGGTTTTGCAGTCATGACTTACACTGAGTATTTACCGCAAGACTGAGTTCAAACAATGAATTCTAGCCTTCCGGATTCCTGAGATCCATAAGAGCTGCAGACTTTATAAGCTCACGGATGCTGTTCTAAGGCCAGGTGTCTCAGCATGGGACAGAACACTTAGGAGTCACGTCCAGCAGGGATGGAATCCTGGCTCTCCCTCTTCCATGGAACATGGAGCCAGTTGGTGACTGCGAGACCTGCCCTTTGACGTTCTTTGTTCCCTGAGAGGCTGGCGGCTTTAGATTGCACACTGGGCACCCTGCTGGTTTGCTTCATTGGGGTTAAGTCAGCGGTGGGCATGGGAAAGAGCTGAGATCAGGACATGGTTTCCTTCACTATCTCCTGTGGTCCCTTTCCCAGCTGGCCAACCACATCTTCTTTGGAGGGGTGTCTCTGACCGAGGCTACAGCTTCAGTGACTTGTCCTATGTCCCCCTTAGCCTGGAGGCTGGTAATGGCTGTTCATTCTTCTTAGTGCCCGTGGGTCTCAGCTCCTTGTTGTGATCCCTTATCTTTACCAGTCCCTCTAGATGCCTTCATCTAAACACATTTTTGGAATCACGTCTTAGTGGTCAGATATTAGTTTTACTTTCCTTTTTGCATTCCTGTCTTCTAGTTTGCAGGGTTTCTGGTGAGAATTTGCTGTGATTGTTTTTTTTTTTTTTATCATTTTTCCCCCTCCTATAAAATATCCCATCTTTCCCCCGTCTTTAGGCTGTCTTCAGAAAATTCCCCTTTCTCTACGTTTCAATAGTTTGAATGTGATATGCTTAGAAGTTTCCGCCTGTGTATGTGTGTGTGTGCATGCGTATTTGGCCTGTCACTCTCTGAGCGTCTTTGGACGGTGGCCCACTATTAATTATCAGTCATTATTCGCTCAAGCATTTCTTCTGCCTATTCTCTCTTTTCTCGACTTCTATGACATGCACATTTGGCCATTTGATATTCTCTCCTGGCTCCTGAACGCCCCGCTCCGTGGGTTTATCTTTTCTTCTTTGTGTGTCCGTCTGGGTAATTTCCATTGACCCAACTGTGTCACGCTGTCATCAAGAGCCCTGAGCCCATCAGAGGCATCCTTCATCTCTGTGGCCGTGGTTCTCAGTTTTAGCATTTCCATTTGATTCTTTTTTTCCCACATCTCAGCTGAAACCGTCCATCTGATCTTGCCCCGCGGCCCACCTTTTCCATTAGAGCTGTTAATGTAATTACAGTTGTTTTAAATTCCCTGAAAGGGGTTTTCAACATTGCTGTCATATCTGGATGTGGGGGTCTGATGGCTATGTTTTTTTTGCTTTCTCTCGTCTCTTTGCACTATCAGCTGGAAAACGTGACATCTTGTGTAACACAGAGGAGACAGAGGTGAGTGTGGGGGTGTGAGGTCATAGCCTTAGGAGTAGGGCTGGCTTCGAAGTTCACCGTATGGTTAGCCTTGGTGCATTGCAGGCACCAACTTCTCAGCAGTACCTTGATTGAGAAAATGCTTTGCCAGAGCTGTTATTTACTCTTTTTCCCTGCCTCTAAGTCACTGCCCCTTCAGCCTTGGGTTCTTCCTATGTACTGCCTTAGAGGGGTGTCTCCTTCCGTGTGCTGGCCTGCTCCCTATCCTTTCCTCTACCGTATTTGCTTGCTTTTGCTTCAAGATTTCAGGCAGTTGTGGTGGTAGGGGCGCATTCTCTATGGTTCTGACAGGGCTTCCGGGGAGGTGCCCGAGGGTGCCCGAGCTGTTCCGTGCTCCTGGTCTTCTTAGGTGGCAGTCCTGGACTGGAGACCCAGCCCCACCCTTCTCTCGGCAGCGGTTATTCCATCCTCCCCTCCTTTGTCTCCCATTGAGCTGAGTGGATTTTCACCAGTGTCTGAGGAGAATGTGCGGATGCCCTTTCCCCTTGCTCCTTATTGGGGATAGGGTGAGAAAGGCATGGGTGGAGTGGGCTGGTACTATGATTCCCCTTAGCAGCTGCTGGGCCCCTCCATCATGTCAATTGTGAGAGTGGGTTCCTTAAGATTTTCTGTATGTGTGTGTGCATGTGTGTGTGTGTGCGCACGCGCGTGTGCATGCATATATATGTAGAAACCCCTGTTGTAGTTTGCAGGGGTCAGGAGGATCATGAAGAAGACATGCACTTCCCACATTAATTTCTGCAGCTCTGGCTAAACTTCTACTCCAGTGTTTGGCCATGTCTACCCAGGCAAGCCAGAGCACAGACGTGGTCCTTTTCTGTGGGTTGAGTTCTTGGATTTGGGCCAGTTGCTTGCCCTGAGACCCCCGGGAAGGAATTTGAAGAAAACACATATATTTGTCTCTTGTCGGGCTTATTTTCATTGTAAAGTTGGGAAGGATGCTCTTTTTAGCTCTCATATCTCTCAGGCGCAGACCAAAAGCCAAGTATTTTATTTGAACTGTATGAATTGAATTCTGCGTCCCGCCAGGTGCACCGATAATGCCGGAGCCAGGATCTGCATCTAGTATTCTCACGGCAGCGTGTGTGCCTTCTTTATCTCCCTTCCCCTCCTGAGTCAACATTTCATTCATAAAATATTTACTAAGCACCTATGAGGTGGCAAGCCCTAAACTTGAAGCAGAAATGAATTTAAAGAATTAGTAAGGAACCCACATATTTACTGCTGGTGTAGTTATAAGAGGAGCTGTCATGGGCACTGTGGGAGGCTGGAGCCACTTTCTCCTACAGGACATGGGGGAGTTTGTGGCTTATTCCCACCCAGAGAGTCAACTTTGGAACTAGCCTCATTCTGTCAGCTTCCTTGCTTGCTTCTCTTCTGGAGACAGGGTCTCACTATGTAGCACAGCTCTGGCTTGGAACTCACTGTGCATGTAGCCCAGGCTGCCTCAGCTTCATGAATGCCAGGAGATGCAGAGCTGCAGGAGGAGCACCCACTATGCTCTGGCTTTATACCGACTGCATGACTCGAAGCTTATCATGCACTTTCTTTGAGCCTGGTGTGTTCATAGGTGAAAGGAACACGCAGATGGTAATTCTTACTGACTGGGGAGACCCTTGTCAATGCATTTCTGTGTCAGGCCCAGGGGCTTGCAAACTCGAGGTGCTGTACAGATATTGGGGGAAAGGGTCTGACACACAGCAGTGATGTGTTTGCATTCAGTTTGGGATTTGATAAAGGGAGTGACCTTGGGAACTAATTGCGTGAACAGATTTGCTCTGACAAAGAAACCCCTGTATTGGCTAAATAATGTATAAGGGGTTTCTACCAGGCAATGGGGGAAATTGAATTATTTAGTGTATTTCCATTTCAATGAGCTAATCAAGATAATTGCTATTTTCCTGGATCTTTGTCTTTTTTTTTTTTTTTTTGCAATTAACAAGGCCCCTGTTTGGAGAAAGGAATTTAGCTGGTGAACTTTGTATATGGGGCTATGACATTTTTTTTAGTATAAATTATATTTAAAAATCAATTATAGCCCCCTCCCAACACGGGGTCCACTGTAGTGTTCTTGCTCTATTACAGCCTGCAAACTAGTCTCCCTCAGTCTCCGCCTTTGTAAAGGAGAAAATACTACCTGTCGCCCCCGCTGCCGTGAGGATTAGCTCAATGACTCGGTTTCTAGCACAGAGCTGATGTTCAACAAGACCAAGTTCTCTGCCAGCTCCCACGGCCTGTCTCATGCTGACATATTCTGCAGGCTCAGTTGTCTCAAACATGACAAAGAAGAGAAACTTAAAAAAAAATCTCATATTGAAAAAGAGATGTTACAAGACCCATTCATTAAAACAGCACATCCGTCGTCTACATGTATGTGAGGTGAATAATTTGCCTGGGACTGTCGTGAGCTGCACTTCTGCCCCTCTGGCCGCACTGCTTTGAGATGCCTATCTCGTATGGAGAGGAGGAAGCAGGTACTTGAAGTGAACACCGTATTACACCCGAAAGTAGAGCACAAATGCATCACTGCGGTGAGGAGGGAGACAGTCAGAGCACACCCATTGCTTACAGAAGCCCATAAACAAATGCTCAAAATCATTTGGTTCATTTAGGGGTGAAGGGCTCTGTGTCCCCACTCCTGGAAGTTAATTCTGTAGCACAGCATGACCTACAACTGTTACCATTCCTTGATGACCTTGACTTCCTAAAAGAAAGGCCAGGCGATGTTTATATGTTTGAGAAGGGAGAGTGTAATGAATGCCCTAAGTTCATCCAAAATTAAAAAAAAAAATGGAACCTCAATTATGTAGAAAATTCATTCATTTGGGGCGTTCCCTTTATCCTTACCTTCCTGTTTATATGAAAATATTAACACATGAAGTAGTTTAGGTTGACATCATGTTGCTGTGGTCTACTGTATCCATTTTACAGGTATGGAAAGTGACACCTAGTGAGATTAAGGCCATGGTAGAGCTGGGATTGAAGGCCATGTCTATGAGTCCAAACCATTTCCCTTTTAGGATAAATCATTCAGAACATGACCGTGCATAATCTACCATTTCCCTTTTAGGATAAATTACTCAGAGCACGACCATGCAGAACAAACCATCACCAGTAAGGGTCTTCAGTCCCAATCTGAATTAAAAGGAAATCCATAAAAAGTACATTCCCCCAAATCATTCATCTTCACTCTTACAGTGCATCCCATAGAACACAGCCCCATCTTGATACTTACTCGTAAAACGTAGTCCACCCGTTTTCATTGCTCTTGGTCGCCAAGAGGCCGGAGTTGCCATGGTACGTCATCATAGCCAGCTCGTGTCCTTGCGTGGTGACGCTTCTGAGTGCACTGTTGGTGCCCATGGTCACCCAGTAGACCTGGCCATCTGGGACTACCAGCCAGAGGGGCATTCCGGTAGAATCCCGGCGGACGTTCACCATGTTGCCGTTGTTGTCGGTGATGTGTGTGATGTCACCGTCCCCTGTGTAGGTGAAGTTGTACAGGTAGTCTCCCGTTGGCAGGCTCTGGGTGTACAGATGTTTACCGCTGGTGTCAAAGAGGTACAGCTCCTGGTCGATGGGGGAGGACAGCTCGTACATGTTCTGGGTGTTGAGGAAAGGCTTGTTCTTCCGGATGAATCGGATCCGGATGTTTCCAAGGTCAGCCACGTAGAGCTCCCCGTCAGCACACACAGCCAAGGAAGAGGGGGTGTTCAGCTTGGCATCCTTGGCGTAGCCATCATCGCCAGAGAAGCAATCACAGTTGGCATCGTTTTTACAGTCGCAGCCGCTGGGGGCACCGGCGACCAAGGAGATCTCACCGCTCGTGGTGACCTGCCTGATGCGGTTGATCTTTTTCTCATCTGTCTCGGCGATGTACAGGACCCCGTTGTGCGAGACAGCTAAAGCCGTGGCTGACTCCAGGGTGGCGTGGATGGCCACCTTGCTCAGCAGGAAGTGGTCGATGCCAGGGACCTGGCAGTGCATGGGCCTCCCGGCGACAATGCGCACCTGGTGGTTTTCGGAGATTTGCAGGACCACGTTGTTGTCAAGGACGTAGAGGGAGTTGTCCATTGGGTTGATGGCTAAGTCCGTGGGCCACTCCAGGCGAACCTGACAATGAAGACATGGACACTCAAATGACGCCAGGACGCTCACTAATCATCACCCCCAAACTCCCAATAACCCACGACTGTGTCCCAAGGGTGTTTATATTCAGTTTGATCCAGCAGGGCAGAAACAGAAGAAGGGGCCCACAGCCTCGAGATGTAGACTCTGGAGTCGGACAGGCTTAGTTCTGAACCTAGACCCATCCACTCATGACCTTTGGCAGGTTACTTTGCTTTTCTTAGCTTCAAAATTCATATTGGGAGAATAGGGGTGACCACTGTACCTCCTGACACACAGTAAGTGCTCGGACTCGTATGATGGATAATGGATGCAGGAGGGAGAAGAGGATGGGAGTCTGGAGGCTGACATGGGAGTTGCTTGGGGGGTTTCAAAAGATCTCCATGAGATGCTGACATGGCTCACGCATGAAGGTGACTAACACAAAGTTAGGCTTGGGGGATGTAAAGCCAGAACATCCATGCCCATCTGACACAGGATTCTAGACTAGTGGTTTTCAATTTTGGCCCCCTATTTGTGCTATCGACCAAGATTGTAGGAAATGTTCTGAGCAGTCAGATCAGTCGGGTCCTTGGTGTAGCTGGCCTGCGCACTGGGGTTGTTTAAAAGTGACTTCCTAGGTGATTATTTCTTGAGCTGGGAACCATATCTGGGTTCTTCTCTTAAAGGGAAATAATCAGACCAGCAGTGCTGGTTGGCACCCCCTTGCAGCTGGTCAGAAACGCAGAATGACAAGCTTGCCCACACCTACTGAATCTGAACCAATCCCTGAGGACCGAGTTCACACTGGAGCTCAGCAAAGACTGATTGACATGGGGGAGGGGGTGTCTCTAGGACTTCAGAGAGCAGGTCATATAGAAGGGATTAATGAGACTTGTAGTGGGACATAGGCTCAGAGCCTGGAGACTCACATTGAGTCAGTCTCTCTCTCTCTCTCTCTCTCTCTCTCTCTCTCTCTCTCCACCCCCCCCCCCCCAGGCTGGAGCCTCGAGTGGGTGCCTAGGTGACTGCAGCCATCAGGGTTTGGGGTGAGCAGTTTTACTCCAAGGACTGTTGCATGTATCACACTGGGAAGGGCTGGCCAAGGGAAGCCCTTGGCCAATAATGTCCCCAAGAGGCCCAGCCACGCTGCACGAATTCTGGAAATATTGACCTGTGCTTCTTGCAGCTGGCTTTCCAGCTCTACCTGAAGACCCATCATTTTGAAATTCCTGGGCTTCCTGCAAGCCCTTGACAATCAATGTTCTGATTCGGGGCTTATTCAAACAATGTGAATAATGTAATTAGAAAGTCTCTCTTCTAGGAATTTTCTCTTGCATGCTAGTAGTGTTTATAGTGGTTTCTTTTTCTTCTTTTTTTTTCTTTTTTAAGACAGGGTTTCTCTGTGTAGCTTTGGAGCCTGTCCTCGAACTATCTCTTATAGATCAAGCTGGTCTCGAACTCACAGAGCTCCGCCTGTCTCTACCTCCCTAGGAGTGTGCCACCACCACCCAACTTTTCTTTTCTTTTCTTTTTTGCTTAAATCATGGCCATTTTAATAATGGCAACAAAACAAAACAACAAAAACCCCAAACCAAACAGAACCAACTCAGGTGCCCAAAAAACAAGAACTAGCTAAATAATGATAGCACATTTACTTGGCTTGTAATTTAGAAACCTGTGAATAATCTTTTCCCATGATGCTGTAGGTCAATGGTTCTCAGCCTTCCTAGTGCTGCAACCCTCCCTTGTAGTTCTTTATGCTGCGTTCACCCCTCAACCATAGAATTACTTTGTTGCTACTTCATAACTTCATGTTGCTACTGTTACGAATTGAAATTTGGATATCTGACATGCAGGATATTTGATGTGTGACCTCGAAGGGGTCACAACCCACAGGGTGAGCGGTACTGCTCTCTCTAGGTGGCTATGGCATGAAGTGGGGGAAGTGTTTGCTTACCTGCTAAATAGAAAGAGCAGACTACAGAGCTACAGGAATAGACGGAAACCAGCTAGGGGAAATGCAGAAGTTACTTTACAGACAAAGAGGAGGTATAAAGCTCAAAGGAAACATACCAACATATTAACCATTCTGGGATCAAGGATGATGCCAGTATTCTTTTTACTTTAATTTTTTTTTTAAAAAAGTTGCTACAGTGTCTATGTGGTTGTCGGCAAATGTAAAACAACAATACCAAAATAAAAACCAAAAAAACAACCAAGCAAACAACAATAAAACCTCTAAACCAGTTTGTGAGTTTGCCTCTCTCTGTCCCCTTAGCTTAGAGTCCTTCTCAGGATGGGTCAAAAAGTCTCTTGCTCCTCACTGGCCCCAGCCCCTGTCTGCAGAGCAGGAGAGCTACAGACCCCGCAGAGCAATTGCCCCCGCCTCCCATCCAGTGCTCTCTGGGGCATGGTCCTGCCAGCTTTCAGCTACATCAAGAACACACAGTTTGCTTTAAAGTGACAGGAGACTTTTCAATTTCCTAAAACCCATTCCTTGTCAACACTGGCCGCTAAATATTTTATGCCCTCTGGTCCTGTGGCACCTTGGGGACTTCCTTGCAGAGACCTTTCTGCCTGTCGTTATGATGAAAAGATGGGTGGGGGGGGGAGGAGTAGAGGCGGGGCGGGGGACAGAAGAAAGGAACAGGCAAGCAGAGCAGTTTAGCATTTTCTGTGTTTATGTGACCGTGTGCCTGGGAAAGGGGATCCCTGCTCTCAGCTGCTCTGGGCTCTGACGGACTGGACCAGACCCCATGTGTTCCCCTCTCTCCTCTGGCTAATGATAATGCCGCCACAGCTTCAATCCCCATCACCAAAATGTTAGGCCTGAACCTCAGAGCTCCTGCGGCCCTCAGGAGCCTATGTTCAAGGGACCTGGGGTGGAGGGAGCTCCCTTTCCCAGCTGTCCTGGGCACTCTGCATCTCCATCAAGATGTCTCGAGGCCACTGCTTTGCCACAGAGCGATGAGCGTATGCAAATGTGTTGTCACAGGAATAACTCAGTGAATGTCTACAAACGGTGCGCAGGGAAGGAGGGATGGCGCAGGGCACCTCACTTCCTGTTCCCCTCCACAGTCACTAATGGGTCAGGTCACCTCACTCAAGTTTCTGAGACCCCGAACTTCTTTTCCCATATCAGAGCAATCAACATTATCCAGAGGAGCTGTGGCGAATGAGAACATAGAGAGGGAAGTTCTTTATAGAGTTTCGTGGAATATTTACATCCTATTACCAGCTGGTGGCCCTGTGCTAGGCAATTATGTTCACGATCTCTTTAGAAAGATTCATTCCCCATCCTTGATGAAACCCAGGGCAGGGCTCTGTTTATAAAGGCATTTCCTTTCGCTCAGCCTCAGTTTCCCTCATTCTATCCCAGGGATGATGGTGACAAATAAAGGAGAAAAGAGAAGCTGTACTCAGCTCATTTCCAGCAGAGTGAGTACCCGGCACATGGTAAGTTCTCATTTTGGCTCTACCGTATGGAGCGGTGGTGATTCTACCTGGGTAGCTGAGAATCAGCCTCCAGGCCTGTGGTGTCTGCTTGTCTACCGCATGCCCTCCCGCAGCGTGTCTCCTCCCACATTCCATGCCTATCTGCTCTGTAGGCTTTGGTCATGGTTTCTGTGGCTCTCCTTCTTGGTCCCCACAGGAAAGCCAGCGAGCTGGGTGTTGTCACTAGAGGGGTCCCTGAAAACAAATGCCGCCTCCCATATGTGTGTGTAAAAACAGATGCCCGTGTTAAGAAAAAAAAATCCAGTTCCTACATTCAGACAAAGGCAGCAAGGACCAGGAGTAGAGATTTTACTCCGTGATTTCTCAGGATGTGGCTTTTCTGTTTTTCTCCCCTTCAACATGCCAGCTGCCTTCCAGAGCTTTTGGTGTGAGTGCCGGGCAGTGCCTGTATCTAAATCTAAACAACCTTCCGGTGTGTGGATTGAAAATGTTTGGGCACCCTGTGCTGGCTGGTTGAGGGCCCATTTAGAGAGGCGAAAATACTTGTCTGCACATCCTTAGGTTTTGGCGGCTTCCTTCTGGGTAATTCTAGCTTGCTCACAGACTGGAGAGAGAAACTCTCAAGCCAGCAGGGCGAAGCCTGCCAAATTGCAAAGACAGTGGCAGGGAACAGATTCTTCTCTGGAAGGCATCATCGTGGAAGCTGGCACACGGACACTGCACCAGCATTGGGCTGGGAGGGGATGTGGGTGCTGGGACTGCCAATGGTGTGGTCACGGGGCTTGGAGAAGGTGTTCAGAGATGGGTGTTAATAACAGAGGAAGGCACGGCAAGCCAGGCTGGGAGAGGCCACCATCAGCTTCTTTATATTCCCTAGGCTCCGATAATGTTAGCAGGATGGTTGCTCACCAATTGAACTCAAGCCAAGCTCTGATCCAGGGCCTGGCAGTAAAGAACCTGGCCCTTGCCAAATCATCAGAGGATATACTGGATAACCAGTCACCATTGGGATTCCTGATGTCTACCTTCTGAGGCCCAAATCCCTATAGTATGAGGTTCTTCTCTCAGTGGCTATAGGCCATTCTTCCTATCTCAGCTCCCTCCAAAGTGCCCTCTGCTTTGGCATTCAATCCTCCAATGTTTTTGAGGGTCTCATGTATCTCAGGCTGACTTTGAATGTAAGCTAAAAATGAGTTTGAACTTTGGTTCTCCAACCTTATGTCTCAGAAGTGGGATTACAGGAGTGTGCCACCATATCTAACTTACATGGACCTAGGGATTGAACTTGGGGCCTTGTGAATGCCAAGCAAGCAATATTCTATCAACTGAGCTGCATCCCCAGATTTCCAGTGTCCTTTGACCACACGAGGCCTGGTAACATCTTTGCATATACCATCTCTGTTTTTTTTTTTTTTTTTTTTTTTTTTTTTTTGTCATCCTGCAAATCCCTGGTCCAAACCTGGTACCCACACCCCCTCTTTACTGAAAGTGGATGCTACGATACTTTCCAATCATTACATCTCAAGTGATGAGCATTGTTGATCCCATGCTGTGCTGATGTCAATCACTTCGGTATATGGTTAGGAGAAATGAGGTTCAAAAGATCTCACAAACTCATACACGCACCAGAGCTTGGGGTAGCTAGGGACCTGTTGAGTGGTACAGCTAGGGTTTAGCCAGCTGTCCCACAAATACGGGCTGGGCTCTGACGGTATACCAGGCACCTTGGTTAAGTAGAGGAGACGGCAGGCTGAATTCCTGTCCTCGTGCAGCTTATGGTCCAGAAAATAAACAGGTGTCTGTCTGTACATGGTGTCAAAGAGGAGGTTCAGGGCTATGAGTTTAGGTCCACCCTGGTCCGCTGGCCCTGGAAGGATTCTATCACTGTCCTCTGAGTACCGAATCCAGCCACATACTTGTTAGACCTAATGGTGAACTCTCAGGGCAGTTAGGCTGGTGTAGTTTCTTCCTTGTCTTTGAACTCTGGGAACTCAGCACAGGCCCTGAACCAAGTAAGACCCATTTAAAGGCAAGAGGAGTTGTCATCTGGTGACAGATGATAGGAAAGACACACAGCACACAGGGTCCCAGCACACAAAGTCTTCTCACCTGAGAAATATCCATGACAGAGTCGCAGCTGAGGGGCCTGGCGGAGGTGAGGTCATTGGAGCCCAGCAAGGTGGAGATGATCCCGTTCTGATCGACACGTCGGATCATTGTGCCATCCACGAAGTAAATGAGCCCAAACTTGTCCACTGTAATTCCTAGGGTGGAGAAGGCCAGGCAGGGGTCAGCACTGGAGATGAGAAGGAGCCGTGCAGTAGACAGCTTTGGGATCTGGCATCTTCTCCCATCCAGCTCTCTGTCCCTCTGCAAGGGTCTCGTACACGGAGGTCAGCACCAGAGCACTGAGCTACACCCCAGTCCCTTCAGCTCCCTTTTGTTATTTACCATGTCGTTTATCACTTAGGTTTGTTTACTTTTAAATTTTAAGAAAAAGAATCTAAAATTGTTATTATTTCTTTCAGACAGGACGTCCTATAGCCCAGGTTGGTCTTGAGTTCCAGATATAGAGAAGATGGAACTTTGGAACTCCTGTCTCTACCTTCCAAGACTGCTGGGATTATATAGCATGACCAGTGTTATGCAGGGCTGGGGCTTGAACCTAGGGCTCTGTGTGCTTGAGGCAAGCTCTCTATCAACTGAGCTACATCCCCGGCCCCTCCAGCCCCCTCCACAGATGAACAGGGTGCAGTGACGGTGTCAAGGCTTTGAGTGTCCCATGAGCGAGGGATTAAAATCTAGTGTCCCAGACCTCAGGTTCTGGCTTCCCGCTTTGCTGCCACAAGAGAGGTTTCTTCTTTCACTTGGCTACTAACAGAAACGTCAAGGAAGACCTTTGCCAGCCTCCCTGGAAATTATTTAAAGGAACCTCTTTCTGAAGTCCTGCAAACACAGTCATGGATCTCGTGTGTGTGTGTGTCCAGGCTGTCACTCAGCACCCTCCCTTTCACCTGACCACCCTTCCCAGGTCTCTGTGACCAAGTCACTGGAGCGCCTGGCATCTGTTTTCTTACTTGTTAGATCAAAGGGCTGTTTGCAGCCCGCATTTCTGCCTCAGGCCTGCCTGAGAACTTCTAAGGAGCCTGTGGCACCCCAGCAGGCTGCTTGAGATCTCACATGAGGTTTGCGTTCCCGAAGGACACCCTGGGTGATGGTAACGATGGTACAAAACCGTCAGAAGGTCACTCAGGAGTTGGCTCCTTCTGGCCAGGGATTCATTTCATAGTCACCTGGAGAGCTTCTACTTGGCCTCACATCTGGCAACACCACTCAGGAGATGGCAGGGACAATGGCTCATGTGTGCATCCAAAGTTCCTGGGCGGCATCTGCCACCCATGTAGACAGTGAGGGGAGATGGGTTTTGAAATGGAGGCACAGGTCTGGGTCAGAACCACATGCAGTACCGTGGGAAATGACAGACCCAGGAGGGCAGTGGTGACATAAAGGGTGATTGGCTCTGTTTTCTTTTGGCCAGCCAATGTGAGGAGGGGTTAGAGGAGGCCTTGGGAGAGGGCAGGGTGAGCTCTGAGGCTCCTGATTTTGTGATTTCCCTCCTGACTCTTGGGTCTCCTCGTGGCTGTATGGGATGACAGCTTCTGACTGGAGACCAAGGAGAGACCTCAGTTGGTAAAGTGAAGACCTTCTAGTATCGGAACCCAAGCCCCACGGCCCTGGTGAGCCATCCCTGTGTTCCTCTTCACACACACACACACACACACACACACACACACACACACACACAGTTGGAGGCACAACTGACTTGGAATTGCTAGTTCCCAATATTCATCAGTGACCATTGTGACCGGGAACCAGCAGCCAATACTGTGTGCTTCCAGGGCCTAGGTGGGCTCTCAGGTCCTTGTGTCTCTTCCAGGCCGGCAGGATGGGTTAAGGCCTCCAGGGGTATCTGAGTGACGGCCAGAATGCTCATCCCATCCCTCTGTAAAGGTCTGGGAGGCTGGAAGAGGACTCGACACCCATGTGCAGACAGCTTCAGGGCTGGAAGCCTTTGCTGTGGTCCTGCCTGGAATGGCAATTAATTTCCTTCCTTCGGCAGCGGGGCATGAGTCTGCTTGTCTGCCTGGCTATGCCCCGTCTCTCCCTTCCCTCTGCCAGGACTGATGAGCGCTCCACGAACAATTGGGTTTCTTGTTTACGAAGTCAGCCGCACAGGCTAATAGAAGTGATCTGTCCCCTGATTAATTACTTCATATTTTTCTCCTTTTGTTGTGCTAAATAGACGGACATCTTTCCTCCTCCCTGTTGCGATGTGACTGCGGATTGCTGCATCCCTGTCACTCCTATCTGGCCTAATTACAGGCTTTCGGGCAATGGTGCCACCACTCCATCTGGGTGGGTGAGGGAGGGGACTGCAGGCGTTCAGAACAACGGAGAAACGCCAGGAGAGGAGAAAAACCTCTCGGCAAGAAACCGTTTCAATTCTGAGAGACTAGGGTGCTGCATCTGACAGGGTAAGATTTGGAAAGATGGAACTTTCCTGCTTATTTACAAACCGGGAAACTGAGGTTGGAAAGGGTAGAAGACTCTGCTGAGAGCCGTCTAGTATCAGAGAAGAATCTTGTGCAAACCTGGGCCTGTTCTCTGCTGCTTACTCCTTACTAAGAAGTCTCAACTAAGAGGGAATTTAACCGTTGATGACACAATACTTCCCCTGCAGTTGTCACCTGACTATTCCATTAGTTAGGGAGACAACCTGTCATGATGCTATCCCGGCGCATCTGCGTGATTACATAACACACTATAATGGCAGTAATGGGGATCTCCTCTGCTGTTATGTTTCCTGTGCACCCAGCTGTCCCTAGTAGACATTTATATTCCTGACATTTAAGTTGGATTATGACCTTGTAATAAGGAGACAAATGAGGTTCAGAGAGGTTCAACAACTCCCCCGACATCACACAGTTACTGGACGTGTGTTACTGGACGGCAAAGCCTGAATTTGCATACTCGAGTTTTCTGAAGTCTACTGCTTTGATTTGAAACCAGACCTTGAAACCTGGTGCTCCTTAACAATGTAACCATTTCTAACAGTTTTACAGGGGGCATGTGAAATGTATCAACTTTGACCCCGGAACAGTCTTAGGAGGTAGGCACAGAGGGTATTATTACCCTCATTTTCCTGAGTGGGCCTGAGGGTCTAGAGGCTGGAAGTTTCTGGCTATCTTGTTTGCAACATCTTAAAAGCTCTTCTGGAGGACGCTCGCTGGCAATGATGGTGTCTCTCCTGTCAGGCCTCCTGAGTCTCCAGGCATACAGGTCTCTCAGCTTAGAGCCCCAAACATAGCCCTTCCTTCTTACATCTCAGGGCCTGTGTCTCCTTGCTCCTATCAGAGTACTTCCCATCCAAGATTCATTTATTCTGCTCCAGTGAGCTTTGCGGTGTCCCACAAAGCTCTGCGCACTTGTTAAATCATTGAAAACTGGAGAATTAGAGACTGAGTCTACGTCCATGCAAGGAAGGCACAGGACAGTGCCTTCGTGTGGCAGTAACTGAGAAAGCCTGCAAGGGATGGGGCATCGGTGTGTAAGAACCCAACGCGGCTGCGAAAAATGAGTAGCCAGGAGGCTGCTTACTGTCCTGGAGAAGTCACGTTGTGTCGTTTAGACAAAAGCAGCCTACTGGATAGTGTGCTTGATGTGGTTTCTTCTTCTTTGACTGCACTGACTAGTGTGCACAGACATTCAGAAAAAAAGACGAGCACAGACAGGCATTGTTAACCGGGGTGGATTCCGGCAGGTGGAATTACCACAGTTCCCCTGTGCACTCTCTGTCTCCGAGGCCTCTTGTTGATGATTGCCTATTATATACATAATAAATATCATATAATCTATTTATACATGTATATTATATAATATATAATTGTAACATTATATATTACAGTACCCAGAACCCATGTTAGAAAACAATAATCCAGCAGTGGGAACATGTCCTAGTATATCTATATACACACACATATATATATATTCAGTCAAATATATATTATAATTGTGACATTAATATTATATAATATATTTGACTGAATATATGTATATGTATATATATGTATATATATATGTGTGTATATATATACATATATATGTATATATACACACACACACACACACATATATATATATATTCAACACCAAACAGATGGTATGGTTTTAAATGTGAGGCCTTACCCCTGGGATTAGTGAGCGTGGCTTCTGTGGCTTTCCCGCCATCTCCGCAGCGAGTGTCATCAAAGGGGAGACACTGGTCCCCAGTCCCCGCCACCACCTCGGAGTTCTTGACCAGGTCCTTCACCACTGTGGTGGACTTGATCCTGAAGACCCGCCGGCTGTTGGTGTCAGACAGGAAGACGGCCCCGCTCATGGGGTCTGTAGCCAGGTAGTATTTGTGTGCTGGGCTGTGGCTGCAAGAGAAGGCAGGGCTAGGGTGAGCGCTTTTCTTCTCTCCATCATTAGCTAGAAATGGCCGTACCACCCTGAGCGTGCCAGACCTCATTTGACCTCAGAAACTAAGAAGGGTTGGGCCTGCTTAGTACTCGGATGGCGGATCTACGACATGAACCCCCAACCAATTTGATTCTAGGAAAGATGCTCTTATGGGGATGTTGTCTTTATTGCTTGTCACCTGAGAGCTCTGCCTAACGATCCCCCCCCCACCCCCACCCCATTCAGTTACAAATGCAAAATCACTTGCCTGGCCTGGGGACACCGCTCAGTTGGTAAAGTGCTTGCCTGGCAAGTGCCAGGACTTGAGTTCAGTACCCAGAACCCATGTTAGAAAACAATAATCCAGCGGTGGGAGCATGTCCTAGTAATCACAGTGTTTAGGAGGCAGGGACAGGCAACTCCTGGGCTCAGTGGCCAGCTAGCCTGCACTCCTTGGTGAGCTCCAGGCCACTGAGAGACTGACAACAAAGAGAAGGTTCTATGGTGCCCGGGAACCACCCAAGCTTGTCCTTTGCTTTCTACATGCATGTACACATATCTGATGCCTACCTGCACATACATGTGCCCTCACACCGTGCATGCATACATACATATACCAAAAAACCCCAGCAGGCCTCTTGATGGCTAATGCCTCAATCAAACGCTGAGCTCATGCTTTCTTTTCTTCTTTTATGTGTATTTGTGTTTTGCCTATGTGGATGTATGTCAACCTGTGTGTGCAGTGCCCTCAGAAGCCAGAAGAGGGCATCAGATCCCCTGGAATGCGAATCACAGACTGCTGTGAGCTGCCATGTGGGAGCTGGAAATTGAACCCAATCCTCTGGAAGCGCAGCAGGTATTCTTAATAACTGAGCCATCCCTCTAGTCCTAGCATGTTTCCTTAAAAAGATTATCAATGAAGTTTTTCACAGGAGATGGCTAATTCAAGATAGGAACATGCAGGCACATGGCTTTAAACAACAACCCAGGAGTTTAAAACAAGTCTTTCTCTCAAGATTTTTTTATTTGTTTGTTTTTTTGTTTTTAGAGACAGGCTTTCTCTGTAGCTTTGGAGCCTGTCCTGGAACTAGCTCTTGTAGACCAGGCTGGCCTTGAACTCACAGAGATCCACCTGCCTCTACCTCCCGAGTGCTGGGATTAAAGACATGCGCCACCACTGCCTGGCTTCTCTCTAAGATTTTTACAAGCGGTTTCCAGTTCCATCTTGGGACCAACAGGTAAGATGCTGACTAGACCTGCCTCCTGCCAGTGTCCACCCCATTTTCTGTTGCTCCCCATGATAGACTTAATCGGGAGCCCAGGTGTCTCTCCACTGCAGTCAGCCATACATGGGATGCAGGATCAGTTTCTAATCTGCAGGGAACTTCAGGAGAAAGAAACAGAGCAGGCGTGGTGCTGATGGGGTCCTGTTTCTGGAAGAAAGTCACAAAAACTGGACTCTGGTAACAGGAAAGCCAGACCATGCAGACACAAAAGGGATGCGGCATCCTAGCCAGAGGCTGGGAAAAGTGTTCAGGGTATGAAGCCAGCTCAGTCTCCATTTCGAGGTGGGCCCTGAAACTTGGGTGTGTCATGCGGCCCTTGGACCTCCTGCTTCCTTCAGCTAGAAGAGGGGAGGGTTAGTGCTTGCTTATAAACTGGGAACATGCTTATGAAACCACGTGTGTCAAATGTGCAGTGACACACAGCACACAGGAGATGACATAGGCTTCTCCCACAGGCCTAGATCCTGCTGCTCAGTAGCCCTGATTACAGCTTCCTTCAAGCCTAGTGTGCATGGGTTCTGGGCTTGCCACGGGGAGTGCACTGTGACGTCAGCTTTCAGCTCTTTTGTGTAGTTTAACTACTCACTGGTCCCCCAAACTACATCTCAATATTGTACATTTATCAAGCAGAGAGATTAATCCCAGGTCCTTTGGGAAAACTTTTCATTTTACAAGCGGGCTCTCTTACCGCTTTCTTCCCGAGTTCCACTAATAAGACATGCTGTTCTGGGTGGCATTTCCTCTCCAGCCCCTACTACTCTCCCATTGTCTCTCTGTGAATGAGGGCAGCATCCTCTTCCTGCCCAGGTCTTCTTTAGTTGACCCACATCCCACCAGGTCATTACCATGTCTCACCGTGTATGACTCTCCTCCCATGTATCAGAGGAAGCCCGGGTCTCCAAACCTGATGCGCCTCAGGCTTCTCTCACAGACTTCCCGTCCTAGGAACACCCACAGCAGGCCCCTCAGTGTGTCTGACCCTGCCTGCATCCACTCTTCCTCCCTGTGCCCCTTTGCCACTTACTCTCCAGGCGCCCACTCAGGGACCTTTCCTGGCAAACTTCCCTGGTCGTTTTCTCGTGTGCCCTAGGGTTCATGCTAGTTAACAACTCACGAAACACGAGGCCATGACTATTTATACGTCTTCCATTCTACCCAACCGTGCTCAAAGGGGAAATTCTCTTCTGCAGGCCCAGTGCTCGACACGCAGCTTCCCAGCCCCCCACAGCAGCTTGTCCTCAGTAGACGACATGGCCATGCGCGGCTTCTTTAGGTGGGGTTTGCATTGAAATCACTTAGCTTTCCTTTTACTTCCCGTGGGGTTGGTGAAATAGCCCAGACATCCTGTTTATCTTGAGACGTCCCCCTGGGACTTAGAAGGTGGCACAGAATTAATCTTCCCAGACAACCCTGATCCTGGCTTAATAAAAACGCAGTGACCTTAGATCCTGCTTTGTCACGCTGGAGCATCCTGGGCTCCCAGCTTCCCTGTGACAGCCAGGAGGCAGGGGGACTATTTCATTTCTGTGTGCATCACTCTTGATAAACGGCTACTATCTACCTTGGCAGGAAGAGGACCCCGAGGGAGGCTGGTGGAGGCCCTGTCCACTTAGATTAGCCCCTTGAGTTTCCAGCTCACATGGCCCTGCAGTCCTGGAGAAGTGTCATCTGTGTGGAGCTTCTCAAATGGGTGAATTCCGGGAGAAGGCGGCCTTGGCAGCATTATTCCAGAGTCTTTAAAAGCTATGGTTGCATTATTTATGCTTATCTTGTGGTCAGCATAGAAGAAAATGCTTGCTCTGGATGGAGAAGGTGAAGGTTTAACTGGCGAAGTCAATGAAATGTTGTGTCTCCTTCAGCTGTCCAATGGTCAGGTCTCTGCTCTGCCCACATACTGGCCTTTAGAGACATACATACATACATACATACATATATGCATGCATATATACATGCATGAATACACACACACACACACACACACACACACACACACACACACACGATGGTTGTTTGTTTTGAGGCAGGGGCTCATTTATCCCAGGCTAAACATCAAACTCATCATATAAATAAAGATATCCCTTAACTCAGCATCAAATTCGCCATGTAGCTGAGGCTATCCCTAAACTCGGGATTGTCCTGCCCTGCCTCCCAAATGCTAGGATTATAGCTGTGTACCACCAAACTGGCTGTATTTGGTGATGGGGATAAAACCCAGGGCTTTGTGTGAGCACTCTCTCAAATGAACTACCTCCCTAGCCTCACATTTCTTCCTCATGCCAGCCAGCACTGGTACCTGCACCGTGTCTGTGGCTCCCACCGGGCCTTCCCTGAGACTGCAGCCCCGGCAGCCTGTGGAACAGAGCTGGGGAGCTGATCACATACTCGGCGCAGGGGTGGCTTGAGGTGGTATTCTTGCTGATTGGCAGGCCAAGTAAGGAGGAGGCAAACCTCTCCTATCAGTAGAATGCCCTGCCAAGAGTCGGTCCTTGAGTACACAGATGTGCACTGTAGGTCAAAGGGTAGGATTAGGTTGTGCTTTGTTTTCTGATAAAGTGTTTTTACACGTTATATAACGGCAAAAGTTATTCCCATAATAAACAGGCTTCTTGTTTAGATTAACTAGGGCACAAAGCTCTTGAAATAATTTGTAACAAAGTTGTTAGTTTCTGTGACTATTTCAAGCATTATGAGAACCTAGCTTGGATTGTGATTTGAGTATTATAAAAGAACACTGGCTTGGCAATAAAGGATGCAGTTGTGTCTCCTACTCTGCATCCCCTGTGTCCTGATCTCTGCGGCACTACCCAGGGTCATCCATAACGGAGGAGGTTGGGGGAGGGTCCCCAACTCACACGGATTGGGATGTGTCTGACATGGAAGAATAAGGATCTGTTCTAGCCTCTGTGCCCGCACTTAACACACGTGGCCTCACTCCAGCCCCCATAACTATCGCTTTATGTAGGGACTGTCTTCTTACATTTCAGAACGCTGAGATGGACAGACATGAAGTCCTGGACCAGGACCTCAAACTGTGGAGTGAATTTCCATCTTTACCTATCCGGCTCCACAATCTGTGCTTTCTCCTTCCTCGTGTGGCTGCTGCGAGCCATCCAATCCTCGAAAGCTCACCCCACCACCTGTGCTCCGTTCCTGGACTCCCCACTTCTCTGTGATAGCACACCGCAGCCTCATGTTTCCACTACAGTTAGTGCAGACCTTGCTTCTAGTGTCTGTAGCGCTTTTACAGGCTCTCCTCTGCTGAGCTGTCTGTCTGTCTCCTCAATAAAACCTTGGGACTGGAAAAATGATTCAGCAGTTAAGGCTGATCTTCCAGAGGACCTGAGTTCAGTTCCCAGCACCCACATGGTGGCTCCCAGCCATCTGTAACTGCAGTCCTATTGTATCTAGAGCTCTCTCTAACCTCCAAAATCCTTTGTTATACAGACATAAACAGGCAAAAATACATACATAAAAGCCACTGCCACCACTATCTTGAATTATTCTGGGATAGGTACTGATTTCAAGTCCTATGATTCTGACGTTTGCTTGGGTAGACTGCATGTTTGTATCTGAGAGATGGGGGTGATCAATCCACTTCCAAGGACTATTGGAAGTATATGAAGAATATAACCCCCCCATATAGTGTCCATTATGATAAAAACTGAGATGGTTAATAAATTGTGGCTGTTTGTTTTTGTCTTTGAGACGGGGTCATATATTTCGGGGGACCTAGAACCCACTATGTAGCCAAGAACGGTCTTAAACTTCTGGTCCTTCTTCTGTCTCCCAAGGGCTGGGATTAGAGGCCTAGATCGCCATGCTAGTTTCTGTGAGGCTAGGGATCAAACACAGGAATTCAAGAAATACTAATCAAGTGCTCTACTTTCTAAGTTATGTCCCCAGCCCCAAATGGCAGCTTTTAAGAAAATCTGGTAACTCTGAGAAGTCTCTAGAATATTTGTGTTGGTACACAATAGAGAAGCGACATCTTCTTGACATAAAGCTGTCCTGTCGATCTATTTTCCATGACAGGGGCTCCTCTGTGTTAGTACTCTATGTGTAGCTTGGTTTGAGGGAGATTATATTTATGCGTACTTCTAAGAACAGACTTCCGACAGTTCTCCTGACTCTGGGGAAGAAACCATGGAAGAGATAAGGATGCTTATTTCCTGAACAGATCCACAGCACAGATGCTGAGGGGGCTATGGCTACTGGGAATGCCCACGACAGCAGGGGGCATGATGCTAAAAGACAGAGAAAAGGCTATCCTGGCAGTACAAACACACACGGGCCAAGGTTCCCTCGGAGTCAAATGCTGCTATGGGAGAAACAGAAGCAGCAATGAAGGAGATAAACTTCTAAAACTTCTTTAATCTATCCAATATCCAGTAGAGAAAACCAGAGTGATGTTTCATTTGTATTTTAATAAATGAAGCTTGCCTGACGTTCAGAGAGTAAAACAGCTGCACTGACCAGTCTTACAGACCAGGCAGTGGTGGCACACACCTTTAATCCCAGTAGCCACACTAGTTTGGCATAGAAACTGGGCAGTAGTGGTGCACACCTTCAAGCCCAGCCCTAGAGAGGAATATAAAACGGGAGGAGACAGCCCTCAGATACAGTCTCATTCTGAGATTCCTAGAGGCGGGATCGCCATTTCAGACTGAGGTAGAGGTAAGAGCAAGTGGCTGGCTGTTTTGCTTTTCTGACTGTCAGGTTAAACCCCATTTTCTGTCTCTGGGTTTTTATTAATCGAGCTACAGGGGACACCGAGGCTCAGAGAGAAGAAGGGATTTGCTAATAGTGAGATACCAGTCCAAAAAAAAAATCACAGTTGAAACCCAGATTTATTATCTTAGGAAAGTGGCTGGCAATGGGCCAGCCCCCTTTCCACTCTGGTTCCACTGTGGTTCACTATGGAGAGAGATTTTTCTCACCTGAGAAAACAATGGGTAGAAAGAAGACAGGCCCTGTTTTTGACCCCGTATCATGGTTATATCAAAAGATCACTGAAGGAGCTGGAGAGACGGCTCAGCAGTTAAGAACACTTTCTGCTTTCCTAGAGGACCCAGGTGCAGTTCACAGCATCCACATGGCAGCTCACAGCTGTCTGTAACTCTGGGATTCCACACCCTTGCACAGACATACATATAGGCAAAATACCAATGCATATTCATAAAAAAGCCACTGAACGTCAGAAGTATGCACGCCCATACCTATATGTGTGTGGGATACACCCACACACAGAGACAATCACAACTTTTCTAACTGATAGGTGATGTGAACAGAAACCAGAGAGGCTGGCTGATCAGCGAATGCCACATAGCACAAGGCTTCTCAGCTGAGTCTGCCAGTACTGCAGGCATGTCTCCAGAGGTGTCACCATGGACTGAATGGTTCAATGCTAAATGCCGGGTTTTAACTTAAGATACACATGAAGAGTACCTCTGCAATATAGAAACTGAGAGGACAGACCTATGAGCAGTTCAGTGTCATCCATTCGAAGCTCACTGGGCATTGGCTTCAGTGTGAACACAGGCTACTTTTGCACAGGGAAGGGCACGTTTCCCACTGCTGACAGTGTGAAGCAGGAAAGAGCTATGCTTCCACGGTTACTCTGGCTGCCATGACTCAAGAGTTTAAGGTTTGACCATGGTTGTTGTTCTTAGCTTTTACTTTTGGCCCTGATTTCTGCTGAATTTATCTTCTTATATGTGTCCTTGGTTGTCAAAGGACTAATTTCCTTTACGGGGAAAGACGGCGACATCTTATCATCATGATTATCTTAATTATGGTAAATTCTGGTAGGCTAATTACAAAGCCAGTGTATAGAGACTGTAACAGTTATTAAGATCACTAGTAACATTTTTCCATAGTAATTTCTGGAACTTCTTTCTGGGCCTGAAAATGCTGACTAATTTGAAGAGATCCTTTTTTTTCCCTAGAATAATTTTTAATAACCATAAGATAAAAATAATGAGATAAAGCAATTACTTCAGGGTCATATTACTGGGAAACGTCACTAACCTTGCCGGTAAACTGGCTATAATCACAGATGTCGACCTCACAGGGTGGCTCAGATATAAGATGATATCCATGTGCATTGTCTAACTCTCTGCTATGTAGTAAATAATCTATACATATGAATTATTACTTAAAATAATATATGCACATCCATTCCTACTCACATATAGTTATATAGAGAGGTAAATTTAATAATGACTGGTACTTCAGGCTTTGTCTCATCATTCCCCAAAGAGCCTTCTTTTATCCCAACCTAGGACCATCCTATGCACCATCAGAGTCTTATGTAGACACCTGAGAGTCTCCCCTGAGGCTGTGTAAAACATAGCTCTGTCTGCCCATGGTCAGCAATCAAATCTACACACGGACACAGTTCTGTGCGAGGACTGTGATGTTCTGCCTGGAAGAGCCTCTGGAAGGGGTTGCTGGCATTGCCAGTGCTCTGATTCTGCAGTCTAGAATCTGTCTGTTTTCATAGTCTACCCCCCCCCCCCCATAAGATGGTCTTGGTACTTCCCACCACGGTCATTGAACTCAATAGAGGATATGCTATTCTAAGGACTCATCAGGCTGTGGCTCTCAAGTTCTTCCCTGTTACTCCAGTCTGTCACATCCACAGACTACGGGGACCTCACTTTGCCACAGGTCAAAGGAGTTCAGATCTTCGTCCTCCTACCCCACCACAATCAGTGGGGTGTTGTGGTTGCAACCGATTATCCCCTATCAGCTTCTAATCACACAGGGCTCCTTTGCCCTTGAGCCATCTGGGATTGACAAGCAGGGCTTACCATACAGCATGCAACAGCAAGACAGGGGAGAGGCGGGAAATTCTCCACTGGTTGGCTTACCTATGTCTGAAATCTTTATTTCTGACAGAAGACAGGAGAGCAGGGAATAGAAGAGAGAAGGAGGTGTTAGCAGCAGGGTTAGACGCATTATTAGCGGCTGAAAACTTGACAGCAACGCTACTGTACAACACGGTAATAAATAAAGACTTAGCCATGACACTGATACATTTTATATTGGATACTCTGTCAGTGAGATCGCTTACAAACAGCTACACAGCTCAGAAGGGCCCCAGCTCCACCTGCACCCTACTGCTGGCTTTGGGAAGAACATAGGCCGGTTACAGTGTTGCTGCCTTAGCAGGGGCTCAGAGCACATAGGGGCAGTGGGGTCTCTTCCCTGGACAGACATACACCCAGAGATACACAGGCTTGCTGCTCCAGGTCTGTAAGGTGTGTTTTCCTATGGAAGCTTTAGAAACTTGGCGAGCCTACTCAGAATATGGCATGGGGTTGGAGAATGAGTTCAGTCAGGTAGGGGGTGAACCAGAGAAAAGGGGCCATCAGGAAAAGATGGGAGGAAGATGCTTGGATAACCCCATACTGAGTTTCCTTTCCTAAGCTCACTTATTCCTTCTTTCCCCTCTTGCAGTCTCACGTGATCCTCAACAGTGGTGGGAGGGGGGAAGGGAAAACAGGTGATCCTGTTTGGAGGATATGAAAACGGGAGGCCTCCTTTTACATGTGAGCTGCGGAATGAGATTCATTCGGCAGAGAAGAGCTTTATAAGACGGAACACTTCACACTGTGCCAGCTGAGCACTCTTCAGTGGGGCAGGGCTGAGTAGTGGTCTACTAGGCTTGGGTGTACCATTTTAGATGGATACACACTTTAAATCCCCCGTGTCTGCTTTTCGTTAACTGGCAAAGGGTAATGATAGTTCGTACTTTCCAGAGCTCCTGCACTGGTGACCAGTGGGATGCTATCTGCCCGTCCGTACTCTTTGGAGGACGCATTTCCATCCCAAGCATGCCTTGGTCATGTGGTTCCAAACCAGGATAGAGGTGGATTTTTTTTTTTTTGCCCCAAAATAGCTGTAAGAAACAAACTTCCTGCAATTTCTTTTGGAATTGAGAGTGGGACTCCCCTGTCTAAGAAGCGTGGCTTCTCTCTAACGGTAGAGCCCACCCTGGAGCAGGGCTTTGGTTCCAAAGAGACCTGGTTTATGGATGTTGTGGGATATTTGATCACGCTGTGAACCCTGAGTTTGCATTTGTGTTAATTAAATAAAGTCAACCTTAGTTTAGAGACAGCAACTAGTTGACTGGAATTACCCATAGAGAATCTGGAGGAACCAGGAATACGGATAGAGAGATACATAGGAAAGAGTAGGGCGGGGCCATGGAGTTTTGACCTTCTTTTTGGTTTGGGGTGAGCGGAGAGGTTCTTCTCTTCCTGGGTCTCTGGCCCAAAAGGAAGGCCAGCTGGTTGCTTCCCAGTCCCTCTGATCTAGCAGGCTTTCACCCCCACATCTGACCTACAAGTCCTTGTTGGTAAACAGAACAACAGAGACTTAGTTTAAACCTGCATATCTCGGCCAGGCCCAAGCTGAGGCAGCGGAGCCAGAAGTCCCTGCAGGCTGTGGCCTGGGTGGCCAGTAGGGCACTGACTGTGGAGGGCCATGGGGCCACAGATGGTAATTAAAATATTAGCAGACTCCTGTGTAGCTGCTAAGCCGACAGAAAGGTATCATAGGGACTTCGGAAAAACGCAAAGTCAAGCTGTCTCCAGCTGGATGTAGGGTCTCAGCGTTCCATCACTCGTGGTCAGGGCTGAGAGTCTGGGGGCTCTGCTTCCCCTAAGGAGCAGACAGGCCCAGCCTGCATCAGCCCCGGCCTCATTTCACCTCAGCCCTGGTTGGACAGAGCTAACCTCTTCTGAGGAACACTAAGGGACTGGGACCAAATGTGCTGACATTTGCTTGCTGTGTGTCCTTGGTCCTTAGAAGAAGACTCTTGTAGCCCATTCTATCAGGTAAGCGCAGAAAGAGGGTACAGTGGCTTCAAGGGGACTAACTTTCGGCTGTCAGCAGCCTTCCATGTCATCTAGATGTGAAGGACAACTCACTGTATCTTTATCTCAGAGCACGGGAGGCAGTGCCTGATGGAGCTGGGAAGGGAAAAGCCCTCATAGCCCATAGGTGTGGCTCTGTCATGGCCTCCTTCTCTGGTCCCCACAGGGAAGGCTGTTGGGCCTCATGATGGCAAGGGACACTGCTAGGAATCCCAGGGAAGGAATCCCCTTCCATACCTCATCTCCAGGATGTTGGTGACATTTCCAGAAGGGAAGATCCTGCGGATGTAATTGAAGTCTCCCACATAGAGACTCCCGTCAGAGCCACAGGCAAGGGCCACGGGGGCCAAGAGCTTGTTGCCGTCAGCAAGCCCATTGCAGCTGGGGCAGGAGATGCTCCTCCTGCGCCCATTGCCCATGACACTGCCAATGACCGGTGGCTGCTGGGACACGAACTGGTTCTCTCCGTTCCCTTTGTGTAGGATGCCTGGGATGAGGAAAGGAGGCCAGCGTCAGTGAGGGGCCAGGGACTGGGTCCCTCTTCCTTCGGTTGGTCGATGTTATTGTGACTTCTGCAAAGTCCAGGCTTGTCTTACCATAGTGAAACCCAGGGGAAGCTGAGAGGCTCCACGGTTTACCTACCAGATTCTCACCTTAGGCCTATGAGGCTGTACTGTTACCATTGCCGTGATGGACGGAACAGACCAGTAATTTAGCCAAGGCCCCACGGACAAGAAGTGGGCAGGCCCAGAATCTCTCTCTCTCTCTCTCTCTCTCTCTCTCTCTCTCTCTCTCTCTGTGTGTGTGTGTGTGTGTGTGTGTGTGAGTGTGCGTGTGTGCATGCACATGCATGAGTACATGTTTAGATGTGTGCAGGTGTATGCAGTTGCACTTGGAGACCACAGGACAAATTCTGTCACCCTTCCTCAGGTGCTACCCTCCTGGTAATTTTGGTGCAGGGACTCTCATGTCCTGGAACTTGCCAAGTAGACCAGGCAGGTGAGGGATCCCCAGTGAGCCCATCTCCTCCTCTCTAGTATTTGAATGGCAAGCATATCCTATCATGCCTGGCATTTTAAAAGATAGACTTTCTGTATATGAGTGTTTAGCCTACACGTATGTATGTGTATCACATGTGTGCCTGGTGCCTGAAGAGGCCAGAAGAGGGCATTGGGTTCCCCGGAACTGAAGTTACAGGTGGCTGTGAGCCATTGTGTGGGCACTGAGAATTAAACCCAGGCTCTCTACAAAAGCATGTGCCCCTAATGGCTGAGCCATCTTTCCAGTGCCCAGCCTTCTTCTGGCATTTTTTACTTGGGTTCTGGGGATGGAACTCAGGTCCCCGTGCTTGCAAGACCAACACTTTCTTAACTGAGAGCTATCTCTTCAGCCCCAGAATGCAGCTCTTGACCATTATGACTAATGCATCTCTCAGGCTCCATCCACATCTGTGTACCGCAGTTTTGCAGGTACACAGGCTTGCTTTTCTCTTTCCACCAATCTCGTTTCAAGTGTAGAGATTATGTCTCTGTCATTTCTGCATCCCCAGGGTTTACCACAGAATCCAACACAACATGAATACATTGGCTCACATTACAATGGCCTTTCTCTGCAAGTCCTCTTGCTCTGAACTCAGTGCCTTGACTCCTGCCCTGCCCTCTTGGAGGATATACTCCGTGACACTCTGGGCTAGTCCTAGATCCTCTGGGATGCTGCCCAGGGCTCCTCCCTCTGTTGCTGCTTTGATGGCAACGAAGTGTTTCTCCCATGCCTTGCTGGCATTGCTAACAACCTTCTGCAGGCTCACCTTGGCGCCCACGTTATTCACTGTATGCCTTGTTTTAGGCTCCGTGGTCTAGCAGAGAAGGTGCCACCTCAGCTTAAGGACTCCCATGGTTCCACTCACCGCTCTGGATGTTCAGGGCATGGTGCTTATCCAGGCTCCAGCCCCCCAGCTTGGAGGCATCGATCTCATAGCCCTGTAACACTGCAGTCCTTTTCTCCCACAGGATCAGATCTGGGCAGGATTCATATTCGTAACCCACGGAAACTGCAGGGACACAAGAGGAAAGGACACGAGTGAGCAGAGCCTCCGCCCTGACCCTCAGGCCGACAGGCAAGGCCTCTGATTGTCTTTCATGGAAGAGGAACGAGAAGGATCATGCTTTGACTTGGGCAATAGAACCATGTGGGATTACCAACACAATGATGCTGGCCCTTAAAACCAATTTTTAAAGAAGAACAATCACACAGTTTTAAGAAGAGTTAAATGAGCCACATGCCTTCAAAGGACCCAAGTGAACTGATTCTGGGGAAACATTCCTTTAAAATATTTTGTATGCGCTGTGGTGCTGTTCATACGTGTGTGAGTGTATATGCATGTGTAGGCATGTATACACGCGTGTGGAGACCACTTGGCTTTTACATGCATTTTGAGGATCCAAACTTTAGTTACCATGGTTACATTCCAAGTGTTTTTACTGTGGGCGCCATCTTCTCAGCCCGGAAGTCATGTTTAATAAGGAAAGTACCCCATTAACTCGTCAGTGCGTTCTCATTTGTGGCAGTGGATATTGAAGCTAACACAGTGTTTCATCAGGTGAGACTCTAATCACGCCCAGGCCAGGGATATTACTCAGCCCCTGGACATCATGGTGGATGAAGACCACAGATGTCATAGGAAACGCTTAAAGGGATGTACTCAGTGGATAAGGCTGATTGTTTTCGGTCATCTGTGATTTAAAAAAATCACTAGGTCCCTAAGCTTGGCTTCTGTGGAGGCCCAGGCAGCGGCCTTGGGAGAGCATCAGTGGAGACAGGAAAACCATCTCCTCTGAGTAGCTCCTCTGAGAGGGCACTATTGTCCAGCTCCCAACATCTAAACATGTGACTGAGATAGGAATGAACTGCTGGTCGGCCTCTGAAGGCTGTTCACAGCTGCCCTGGGAGACGGCGCCCCACCTGCAGCAACAAGGGAGTGGGTGAGAAGATGTCCCCAAGCCTCTGGCCATGATGGTCTCAGCAAATGAGTCCCCACACTGGAATCTCATGGCATGGACCTTTTGAAACTACCTAGTGGGCTCTAAATCTGCTCATCTTAGTGGAGAAGGCTACAGGGCCTGGTTTTTACTTTTGTAGATGACAGAAGGGCCTGTGAACAGTGAGGTGTGGCATTTCTGCTCCTGGCGAGCCCTGGCATACAGGGTAGGGATGCAAATCTTAACGCAGAGCCGAATGAATCTAGCTTTCTTCCGTCTATCTTCGCATCCTTGGGATGTCACCTCAGCATCCCCGAAAGGACGTGGCTGTGAGGATTTGTTGTGACACTACCATGTGTCACAGCACAACCATAAAACACGAGTTCCAGAGGTCCTCTTGTTTTCTTCCTGCCTTCCTCCACTTCCTGCCACTCCTTCTCCCGTCCCTCCCTCCTTCCTTTTCTCAGCACAACTTCCAGGTTCCTAACCGCTATTGCTATCTGAAGACACGTGAAAGAGGATTGGGATCAAGGTGAAGGAATTTGCTGGGCTATTGCTCCTCAGACATCTTGTTGGGCATCATGACTACTGACTGCCCATCGCTGAAGCTCCTGGGAGCCTGCTCTAACCCAGAAGGCAGGAAGGGCGGTCATCCTGCCAGGCACAAGATCCTGGTGAGGCAGCCAACTTTGGTTTCATCCCTAAAGACGGTAGTAAAAACAGTTACCAGAGGTGACCTCTCTGCTGGGAGACAAAATCATGAGGCCAGCTGGGCATGGTGTCGGCCCACCTACGATCCTAGCACCAGGCCATGCTGAATCAGGAAGCTGAATCAGGAATCACATGAGTGCAAGGCCGGACTGTGCAACACAGAAAATCTGAGGTCACTCAGGGTGACGGAGGGGGGCCCTGTCTCAACCAGTCAAAACAACCATGAGGCCGAAAACCAAGCTTTGACTTTAGCTCTTATAACCGAAAACATGGCAGCGGCCCAACCTTAGCGCTTTTATTTTCATTTTAGATTTCGGTAGGACGACCGCGGGGTGACCAGACAACATATTTTACTTTTCTGGCACACAGTGTACTTTAGCCCGACACACAGCACCGGAGTGCTTCCTGAGGACCGTTCTGATTCTAACTACTTTTCATGCTTGGGTTTTGCACACCCGGGTCTTCCAATGTTCATCTAGGTTATAGATGGCCACTGAGGTCTTACTGCTAAGACCTCATTAAGCCTTAGGTGGTTTTGACCTGAAAAGAAGAAGGAGGGAAGAAAGAAACATCCACGAAGGCAGCCACTCTGGTTCTGCTCTGTCTCTGCTGACGTGTGGAACCCGTGTCGCAGATACTTAGGGGAGGCTTACCGAAGGCCTCTGACAGCCCAAACACCTTCTGGTTGTAGACATCTGTCTTGTCCCAGATGAAGTAATAGGACAGGTCAGGGGCTGCAGCAAACCACTTCCGGAAGAGGCGGCCCTCAACTGCCACCATGAGGTGGACCTTCATAAGGTTGAAGGGGATGGTGGGGTGTGTGAGGCTGATCCTCAGGACAGACTTGTAGCCAGGCGTGCGGCTGCTCAGGTAGCTCAGCCTCATCTTGCAGCCTGCAATGGTGATTTCCTCTTGCAGGGCCTACAGCACAGACAGAGCACAGCAGGGGTGTCACTGAAGGTCATGGGGGGAGGGGAAGTGACATCAAATACCTTGTGGACTTTGGGTGTTCATGGGGCACAGGAGGAAGCGGAAGGGAAGGAGGTGAGGAGGAGAAGGGAGAATAGCAGGAAGAAGATAAGGAGAGGTGAGGAAAGGAGGAATAGCCCTGGTCTCCATGGTCAGTTCCTGCACGGTGTACCTACATTAACAAACGCACCTCCATGAGCCTTGGGCTCCTCCCCTGTGTAACATGAATGAAGGTATTTTATTGTGGCCATGGGTTACTCAGCAATGCACACCCCTAACTGATTAGCTATGTCAGCAGGGAAAACACAAGAATCTGGGAATCTGCTCCTCCTCACTGGGTCACCACTGGTAAGGCCACACATGCAAAGTGCCCGGCCCATCACTGCATCAGGCAGGACAGTGGCATGGCTGGTACCTACGGTACAGAGAGCAGGGGTGCCATAAAGACACTGACCTAAACAGTAGCCTGAGCCTGGTAGACTGTTTCTGTCTGAAGTGTTCTTAAAGCGAGATATAGTTTCAATGTGTCCTTTCCAGGAAGGTCAACAGAGAGCACACAGGGCTGAACAAACACATCAGGCAGCGCTTGAGAGCCTGGCGAGACCCTGTTCCAATGTCCCAGTGCGTCTCCAGAGGGTTGCCCACTGGAGTTTCCGTGCACACTGGCTCCTAGCTCCAGTGCCTTCACGATGAGCAAAGGAGGGAAGGCAGCAGGCTCAGACTGAAGGTGGACACAGTCAGCAGATTCCAGACGATCACCCACAAGGCAAACGCTGGGGACTGTCATCAGCTTGATGCTCTGGGCTCTTTCTCAAGAAGGGGACATTAAATCAACTGAGCCTAACACGTCCATTTCAGGGACGAGGGCTATATTTACCCTGTGTTTACAGAGGAACTGGGCCTTTTTCATCCTGTTTATTCCATAGAAGGGTGGAGACATTTTGTCTAGGCTTCTTTCTTGAACACAGGAAATGCTATAGATTGGGATTAATCCACTGCTGTCTTCCCAGCTTATAGTTCCAGGCGAGGTAGGCTACACACACGGGTGAGCCACGGGCGGCACTTGAGTGCTGGCCTGATGCTCTCATAAATATTTTCCTTCGTTAATGTGCCCACCACAGTTTCCACATCCCAGCACTTGTGAGGACTAACGGGCAATGGGGCTGGGAAAACAAAGAGTTCGTTTTTATGTGTTTTGCGGGACTCACAATAAGCAAGGGTTGTGCCCCAGCCGAACCTGTAGGCACCTGGCTCAGGGAGCACTGTAAGGAGGGGGTGACCTTGAACCTCATTTGTTCCACAGTCCCCGCTCCTGGGAAAAGATGTCTGGCTGGACCTGAGCTGGGGTTGAGTAACAAATTACTTCTCTCCAGCAAGTCCTGTCTCTGCTGACAAGCATTTCATACAAAAGGTCAGCCTGGCCATTGAGACGGGAGACAGGTACTGCATCTCTGAGAAGGAGTGAGCTTTCTGCCCAGAGCACAGTGAGGATTCAGGAATGGTTGTTTCCTTGCTGGGGACCGGCATTGGAGGCTGCTCGACAGGGCACACTCAGTGAGATGGGTTTGCTCACTCAGACATGAAACACACACGCACACGCACACACACACACACACACACACACACACACGTGCGTGCGTGTATAAATGCTCTATTGCACCAGCACCAGGGCGATCCATCAACATGCACTTTGCTGAAGGTCTCGTTAGGTAGGCAGGTGACCTGGGCCTCTCTGGGCTTCTACGCTGCCATTTCCCCTCCTCCTTGGACCTTCTTTTCTGCCTGAAGACATCAGACTGGGGATGGCAGAGGAGATCCAACCCGGGGGTTGGATGGAGGAGATTCAATTCAGCATGGTTTTTCTTGGCAAAGAATTGATCTTCATTTTCATCAGATTAAAACACATTTTTCTCAATTACTTCCCTTTAATGATAATTAGGTAAAACATTTGCATGTGTAGATCCGATCCAAAGCAAACCTTAATGGACACGGAGGCAGCAGGTGTTAAATAATCTTACTAATAATAAGAGCTAAAACTTATTGAGCACTTAGTGGGTGTCAGATATTGCGCTAAGTAACCCATGTTCCATTTTTCTTATTTACTCTTTATTAAAATGCTTACTAGTTGGGATCCCATGGCTTAGTCCTGTGTGTAGAAACTGGGTTGTTATACTTTTAGCAGAAATACCAAGACAAGTGAGACTCTGAAAGCTGAGGATGAGTAAGGTAGGGTGACCAGGATGGCAGAGTAGAAAGAACCAAGGAGTTTGTTGTAAGGCTTAGTGTGCCAGGCAGATTGTAGGCAGGCGTGTGAAATGGCCTTCATGATCTGATGCCATGTCCACTATGGGGTTTGGCCTTTGGGGTCTTGCCCAAGCCTGTAGGGGGACTTTCTTGGTTTCCATTGTCTCTGGGATTGTCCTCTGCCCCCAAATAAAATAAAAGAATGGCCTGACATTGTCAAGAAGCCCGAGTACCTGGATTTCTGGGACAATGGGGCCTTTCTCAGCACAGGAACTCGCGAAGGACGTCAGGGGGGATGGAGACACCACGGGGTTGGGGCGGGCGAAGTTGCTCAGGTCACAGCTGGGAATCTCGTTCTCCTCGTGCCTCATGACGATGGTTTCCATGACAAAGAAGCGGTCCCAGGGCAGCCAGAGGGTATGCTCTTGCGTGATGAAGGGTGCCCTTTCGAATCTCAGGATGATGGAGATGCCGCCGTTTGTGACCAGGTCAAAGCTGCAGTGGGAAGGGGAAGAAGAAGAGAACGGTGAGATTGTGAAGGGTGAGAAGATCCCAGGAAGGGACCGAGTCCTTGGTCAAGGGCCACTCTCACGTTCAGAGACTGGACTGCAGCCACAACTAGTGACAGTGACTCAGGAAACCGCTAGCCGTTGCTGTAAAATGATTGGCGGGGGATGGGGGTAGTTACAGACGCCAAAGCACAGTAGCAGGGGCTGCTTAGCAGAACCCAGGGCATCTGGGGGAGCCCCTGCGACAGAGCTCCTGGTGCTATCACTGTGAAGAGCCAGAGCCCACTAAGGAGCCAGCAGAATGCGATTCAGCAGGTGCTACCTGGGCACTGGGAGCCCTGAATCCAGTCCTTACCCCATGAACTACAGAGTGGCCACGAGTAAATCTGCCAGCCTCTTCAGTTTTCCCATCTATAAAAGCCCAAACTTTCGTGTGGATTATTTCTGTGTGCATGTGAGCAGATGTGTGTAGGCACCTGTCCTGTTTGTGTATGAACATGTATGGAGATCACAGGCTGACATGAGTGTCTTCTTCAATTGCTTCTGGACATGATTGTTATTGTTATTTGAGACAGTTCACTCTCTCTTTTAAAATTAATTGTTTTTTTAGACAGGTTCTGACCATGGTCCTGGCTGTCCTGGAGCTCACTATTAGACTAGGCTGACCTTGAACTCAGAGATTCTCCAGGAGTGTACCCACAGTTTGGGGAAAACACTCACGGGCTGACAATCTTGTCATAGAACTTCGCCAGAATGTTTTAAAAATCCAAACAGAAATTTGGCCAGACTTACAAACTCTGTTCAAGAGAGGCGGCCTGGAGGAAGGGAGGGAAGAAGGGAGGGAGGGAGAGACAAACATGAAAAGATTTATTTTCAAGGCTGTGAGCAGGCCAGGAGATGAGTGCAATGGGCTGAGGCCAGGCGTGCTCATCTGGCAGGGGAACCCTGCGGAAGATGTGAATGCTGACCTGGTCCCGGAGGGAAGGCCTGGTTCTCAAATGGAGCCTGTCTCTCTCTGGTCCAAGCTGCATTGCTTACGTTACAGGTGAGTTAGACCATCTTCCAGGCCTCAGTTTCCCCATCTGTAAAATTAGGCTGACCATCATAATCACTTGCCAGGGTTACTAATCAGCTAGGTGGGTGATGGGTGGACAAGCCCAGGGTCCCTTGTATTCCCTGGGCCTCACTCAGCACAGCCCAGGTTTCTAGTCTCCCCTTGTTAGGAGCTCTGTTAGTTCCAGTTGACTTATAGTTTCCATCTTTTAAATGATCTTTTAGGGTAATTTCTCTGTTACTATTTTCTGTGTATGAGCTACTGCTAAAATCTGGTCGTGCGCGTGTGTGCATGTGCGTATGTGTGCATGTGTGTGCATGCATGTGTGTGCGCATTCATGTGTGTGTATGTGTGCATGCATGTGTGTGCGCATTCATGTGTGTGTATGTGTGCATGTATATGGATGCATGTGTGCGTGCGTTCCTGAGTGTGTGCAGGTGCATGCATTCACGCATGTGTGCATGTATGTATGTGTGTGAAGCGGGTGGGGAACTGGGGAGCACGTCATGGTGCCGCCTGGAAATCGAAGATGACACAGGCGACTCAGTCACAGCGTAGGCCTTTAGTGCATTTCCATCCATTCTCTCCCCCGACCGTCTTTAGCCTCATGGCTTCTCCTGTGTAGCGGGGGAAGGGAAACTGAGTCACAGAAGAGAGGAGCGGAGTGGGCCAGATGTTCCCTGCTCACATGCAAGAGGGAGTTTCAGACACTATGGGAACAAGGGGTAGCTTTTCCATACGTTATGGTGTCTATGTTGGAAAGAGCATGCTAGCCCCACGATGCATCAGCAAGGACTGATTTGAAATGCCACGTTCTGGCTGTGCCACCGTGTGGGAGGCTGATGCAGGAGCCGTTCCTCTGAGCACTTAATGCCCTCACGAAGCAGTACATATAATCAGCATAGCACAAACAGAGGGCCAAAGAATGGGTGGCTGCTAAGGTCACCGCATGTGGGATTACTATGGCATGTTTCGTGGATCCAGTCTAAGCAAGCCCAGCGGTGCCTCCTGACTGACAGTCGGCTCTTTCATGTGGTGGGTGTCATGGCAAAAAGAGCAGTATGGAGAAGCTCCATTTTCGATGACTGTTCGCCTGTGGGTGGGAGCGTTCTAAGAATATCCATGGCCGAGGATACCCACAGCTGCCATTTCTGTGCTATCCAAAACCCGAAGACCAGACGGAGTGAACAGGGGGAGCTCCTTCCTGCCCTGGTGGGTGGCTGCTGAGGGCCTTCTGAGCACGAACTGTGCAGTGGGGGGAGCAGTGGCCTGGCCTGGTCAGTTTGCTTTTCCAGCTGGGCCCTTCCCACTGCCACGGAGGAGGGGAGGCTCCCCACACCCTGCTTGCCAAGCTGTCTTAGAGGCACAAACGAATGAGTCCTGCTTCATTATCACCCCGGCTAGGACATGCTCACATCTGATATTGGATTAAAGAGGCGCTAAAATCAATCCGGCTGGAGCATAATTTCCAAGGCAGAGTGAAGAAGCAACCTTATGGGCCCATGCTCAGCCAGATGGACTGACACCACCGGGCTCATTAAAAATAGAGGACTTATCACCACCGACGGGCTAAATATTCCACTCGCCTTCTTTTTTTCTAAAATATTTGTACTATTATCTCCTTGTTACTCAATAGTTCATCATAATTTGTAGTCTTAATATCCACTATTGATTGACTTTCTCTGTGTCACGCTAGTGAATCCTAGTGTGTGGCAGGAAGTCGTGATTTTTTAAGCGCATACCACGTGCTAGGTGATCCCCATCCATTTCTTATATCTTAGCCGTTTCTCTGGTTCTCCCGACCAGCCTATGAGGTCGAGAACGTTAGAATCAGGCTACAGATGAAGAAGCCGAGGGTTGGGCAGCAGTATTTGTGCAGGCAGATGCCAATCACTGGGGGAGATCCAGGCCATCATGGAAACCCTAGCTTTACTTCGCACTGTTGATGAAGTAAACCACTTCAGAGGAAATGCAAAGGCCAGGATTTGCTGTCACCGAGGTGGCTTCTGTTGAAGTAACTCCTAGGCGGTTGAAAGGAAGAATGTCACAGTATTCCTACGAGGGGCCACTGAGAAGAATACGGATAAGCTGCCCTGAGTTTATGTGTGAGCCTCGTGAGAAGAAAGTGCTTAGCTTACAGCCGAAGGTACAGAGGCCAGAGTTAGACACAGGTCCCAGTAAGACCATAGGCTGTAGAACTGGGTGGGAGAAGGCAGGCTGTCTGACCCTCTGTCCACATAACCAATCCAGGGGCAGCCATGTTGGGAGACCACAGGCCCCAACTCCCTGACCCACAAAAGGTCTCCTACCTGCCATCTTGCCTGCTGATTGTGTACCCAAAGAGAGGGTTATTGATGAAACTGATGTTCACGCCAACCAGCGGGGTCCCATCTGATGTCATCACTTGTCCACGGATAACACATGCATGCCTGTGGGAGGAGGAGAAGGAACAGCATGAAGTGCCTCTCATGGTCAGCAGGGAAACCTCTGTTATAGCCAAAAGGCTGGTCACTTAGACACACCTTACATCCAGGAGCCCCAGGTGTTCACTTCCGATAATAATCTGTCACCTCTCTTCAAGGGATCAAAGTGTCCTTGAGAGAATCACTCTGGGGAAATATTTTCAAGTATCATACTCCAATGTTATTTTTCTAAAGCCATGATTCACGTAAGGGAAGAAAGCTGATCCCAGGGAACAACACAGTATAGTTATGATGGGAACCACAGAGTCAGGTGCCCTAGGTTCAAATCTCAGCTCTGCTACTTCCTAGATCTCTGAACTTTTGCAAGCATGTGACAGTTCTTTAAGCCTCATTTTCGTTTGCCTTTTTCTGCTTTTCATCTTGGAACATAGAAAACAACACTACTGGAAATGAGGATACAAGAAAGAGATTGGGATGGAGGGGTGCACTTCCTTCCACCTGGCATTCGAAAGAGAAGGACAAATGATGGCATCTCCTCGGGGTGTCTCCTTGGGAGCCTGTCCCCACTCCCAGACCCACTCCCTCCCCCAACTCCTACTTGTTCCCTGTACTTTAGACAACAAACCACGCACTTTCCCGCATTTGCTGGGAGAATGTTGTGTGAAACCTCCCAGCTGCCTAAAATGTCATTTCTGCAGGCACCCCAACATCCTCATCCCATTTCTGCAGGCACCCCAACATCCTCATCCCACTTCTGCAGGCACCCCAACATCTTCATCCCATTTCTGCAGGCACCCCCAACCTTCTCATCTTATTTATTTCTGCATGCACCCCCCAACATTATCATCCAATTTCTGCATGCACCCCAACATTCTCATCCCATATCTGCAGGCACCCCCAACATCCTCATCCCTCAACACCCACTTCAAAGGACATCTCTTCTCTAAAGCCTTTCTTGACATTCCTGCTCAGAACTCACATCTTACTCCCTCAAACACTCAGACAGACACCTCAGTACCTTGCCTACTTCATATCTCTCTCATCTCCACCTGGATGTCAGGCTGCTTGAGGGCATGACGAGGCTTTCTCTATAGTGCAGTGCCTGGACCATAACTAGCAAGTACTCGGTCACAGTGAAAAAACCAAACCAAACCAACAAAAACAACAACGGGAGATTGAGCAAAAAAACAAGACAATTTGCCATCATCTAGAAGCATGGTTTGCATGTATTTCAGAAATAGGATCATTTTATAGATGACATTTTCTAAGGACCTCAAAGTAGGAAACAAACCAAAAGAATGGTGACAGAATCTCTCCTTCTCTTGGCACACTATGGTCACAGCCACTGATGACACACTGTGGTCACGGCCACTGATGACACACTGTGGTCACGCCACTGATGACACACTATGCACACGGTCACTGATGACACACTATGCACACGGTCACTGATGACACACTGTGGTCACGCCACTGATGACACACTATCCACACGGCCATAAATGCAGGTGCTGTTGCTCACATTCTCTCACTCCCCAGCCTCAGGAACCCTTTTGCTCCTGGCCTACGGAAGAGCTACTGATAAGGCCTGTGGGCATTCATGAGAAAAAAAAATCTCAAACTCTATCCCATCTTTATTAGACACTCAAATCCTTACTTCCCTCAAGTGAGAAGCTTTTCTCTGTTTGATGAGAAAAGCAATTAACACCAGGCTTGCAAGCAGCTGGTCTCACTAGTGTCAGCTTGTCCTTTCTGAAGGCAACAACACCTACCCACAATGCACTACAAGCCTCACCCCTCCCACCCCACCCCACCCCACCTCACCTCACCTCACTCTGCAGTCTGACTGGTGCTAATTCAGTCAGAGCTTTCCTTCCGAGGCCCTTGGTCTAAATGCAATTACAGGGCAAGTCAGTTAAGCAGGCGAGGCTCAGCGAAGACCTGCAGTCCTGTTCGGATGGTCTCTCAAAGTATTTATGTGAAATTATCTTTCCGCTAATGGGAGATATTTATTCCATCAATTGCATTCAGCTGGTACTGAGAGAGGCTTTCTTCAGTGGAGGGCAATTGAATTTTGTTTCGCTGGAACTCTGTCCTTCCAGTGAGTTACTAACAGATCTCAGCGCCTGGTCCTGGCTACTCTCCAGCCTCCTGACATGCACAGCACCTTTGGATTCTGCCTGGACAGTAACCACCGTCATGGGGCTTCCCTGGCTGCACCCTGCACCCCTCCAACCCATGTGCCTGCAGACCAGCATCCTCTGATTGTTCTCTCTTTGGGGGAATTTCCTGGTCGTTGGGAAACATTAAACCATCAGCATTTGGCTATCGTTTAGTCCCCGTCCGGCAAACCAGAGCAGATGTAACGCTAGCGCAGGCTCCTGCGGACTGCTTTGGATTCTGGAGACGATTAAGTTGACACGCCTAGCCCCTCCAGGCCACTGAGGCCTCATGGCAGAAGACAGGCGTTTGGCTCAGAAACCAGGTCCTAGAGTAAAACACTTCCATCCTCTTTCTCTTTAACCGCGGCTTTCAGTTGTCGAGAAAGCCCTCTTTAACAAGATGTCCCCGTGCCACAAAGGAGATGCGGAAAGTCACTTTGTGGAGGCCTCTGTATACGTTTCATGCTATGCGCTTTTGTCTAAGGAGGTTTGAGAAGAGCTAGGTTTCCCAACAATTGCTCCCTTTATGCAGTTATTCAGCGGATACGACCAGCGGGGCATTGGTAGATGTTTAAGGACAGATGAGAGCGTGAAGGGGACAGAGAAGAGAAGAGTGAGAGGCGCGGTTGTCAAGAATGGTATTTACCCATTCCTGTGGTGTAAACGCTCCCATCATGGCCGCATTCAAGCTGCCAACATGATGCCACAGAGTTGGGGAGAAATGCACAGTGGTAAACTATTATGGGGTATTCCTAGCTCCTGACGCCATTACTCTCAAATAAGCTCAAAAGCAATAATTATAAAACCCAATCAAATCCTTAGGAAGTGGTAAGTCTCGAGTATGTATAACCCTTTGATATAATTCTAGTTTAGGCTTTTTAATTTAAACTGAAAATTGTGTTTTATGAGTGTTTCACCGGTATGTATGTGTGTACACAATGTCCATGCCCGGTGCCCATGGAGGTCAGAAGAAAATATAGGATCCCTTGAGACTAGAGTGATAGACTGTTGTGGGTATTAGGAATCAAATCTGGGTCCTCTGGAAGAGCAGCCATATCTCCAACGCGGTACAGTTTAATTTTTAATAATAGCAATTTAGCAACCAGCTTACCAAATTCCTAAACATTTAATAACTGGTTCTCTCAGTTCTAGCTGCTTGTTTGTTTTTGTTTTGTTTTGTTTTTATAGACAAGGTTTCTCTGCGGAGTCCTGGCTGTCCTGGAACTCACTCTGTAGATCAGACTGGCCTCAAACTCAGAGATCCACCTGCTTCTTCCTACCAAAGACGTAGGCTATCACCACCAGGCTAATAATCAGTTCTCATGAGCCCAAATGAGTTGGCGTTTACACTGACCTCATGCTGAAGGTGAGGCTTGGTGTTGTGGGTGTGGCTAAGATAGAATTGCTGCTTCTTTGATTTTAAAAGTCTACCTTGGCAAGAAACCAACTATCAGAGGTGAGGATCATTGCCACTCTGGATTTCCCAGCTGGCCATATCAAACCTGTGCTAGTTAGTTTTCTTCCTATTTTTTTTTCTTTCAGTTGGATATGAACTGGAGTCATCACTGAAGATAGAACCTCAACTGAAAAAAAAATGATTCCATCAGATTGGCCTATAGGCAAGTCTACGTGGGCATTTTCATGATTAATGACCGATGTGGCAGGGCCCAGATCACCGCGGGCAGTGCCACTCCTGGGAAGGTGGTTCCTTGGCTCTATAAGCAAGCAGGCTGAGCAATCCATGGGGAGCAAGCCAGTAAGCAGCACCCCTCTATGACCTCTGTATCAGTTCCTGCCTCCAAGTTCCTGCCTTGAGTTCCTGTCCTCAAATCCTTCAAGGTAGCCGATGACAGGCCCATGTAAACCAAATAAACACTTTCCTCCCCAAGTTGCCGTTGGTTGTGACATTTTATAACAGAAATCGAAAGCAAGCTAGGACAGCGCCTCTTATTTCCTCCTGGGTCCCTTGCTTGGGATGACGGAGGTGAGAGGTCTTATTTTCTAGTCATCCTTCGAGTCTCTTGCACCGTCACCACTTCGGTAAGGCTGTCACCGAGTCTTCTTGGTACAATTAATCACCCTTTCCTCTGAGCTCCTCTATGCCTTCTGATTATCTCTCTGCGACGCTGACGATCCCATGACTACACCATTCACGTTCACGAGGCTGTCTCACGTGTCGGGGGCTGTGACTCACTTCCACTAGGTACGGCAAGCATGGGGGGGGGGTGTGGCGGGCAGATTCCTGCTCGTGAGGTGAATAACGACCAAGAACTTGAAACTCGGAAAGAAAACATTTGCTCAAGGTCACCTAGAGACTTCCGAATCCTGACTGTGACCGCGGTGTCTGTACGACACAGTCACTAAAGTCCCAGTTCTCCCCTATGAGCCAGGCGGGCACTGTGCTGGGTGCTAGAGTTACTGAGGTCTAAGAATCCCAGGTCCTGGTGACTTGTTGGCGCTCACCAAAAGCCATGGTGTGTTTGTCCCTGTTGTCAAAGTGTCAACACATGGAATTAGCATATGCCAGGCAGCTGGGACACAAAACAAGCAATTAGGCTGGGTGAGCCCTGCCAGGAGGAGTGCTCCTGCCATGCCAGCAGGACTGGCGTCACAATACCGGCATTGGCCCAGCTACACACTCAGAGCCTGAACAAGGTGCCCTTGCTGGTGGCAATGAGATCTGCCCGATGGCTTCGTGAGGCCAGAGGCCAGGCTTGGGACTGAGAGAAGAATCTGCCTGAGAGACAACAGACGGATTGTTACCCAGTCCTCCATCAGACAGAATAAAAAAAAAGCAGCCTTGACTGTCACTCAAGGGAAAAGGGAAGAAAGAACTATGGTCGG